CAACAACAAATAAGATGATGAAGTATTTATGTTGTAATAAAGGTAGAAGAATTGTCCTCTCAGAACCCTAGTGCTTTTGAGTGTCATTGAGGGACTAAATTAAGACAGAACCTGGGAGTCATTTTGTCAAGTGTTGATGATGTGAAAATAAAAATGAAGGAAAAAGGAATATGCTAGAGAATAAAGTGGGAGGTAAGGGGTGGAATTTGCTTACGAGGAAGATTATGCAAACATAGGGTGAAGGAAATGGACCACATATGAACCTGACTGTTTTTGGAAGTATACAAAAAAAAGAGTGAATACATGTACAAGAAGAGGAGATTAACAGGGAGTGTAAATTTAGGGAAGGAGTAGTCACAGCAGTTAGTCAAAGTAAACTCCATCTTTAGAAATTAGAGCATGAAGTGGTTAAAAAATGTCAAGAACATAAGGGCAAGATTCTGTACTCAGACTGGATGAGAGGAAAAGAATAAGGGTAGTAGAATAGAAGCAAAATTCATCAAATATAAATCATTAATATTGACCACACTGTTTCTCTCAACACTTTCCTTGTAAAGAGAGAATGGGGAAAGGGAGAAATATGAAAGACTAGAATGCAGGAAAATACACTTTTAGCAATTTAAACTGTGAATGGGATGTGCTCACCCATAAAATGGAGTAGGGTAGCAGAAAGGAGTATAAAGAAAAATCCAACAATATGTTCTTTACAAGAAACACACTGGAAAAAGGTTTGATAGTTAAAATAAGTGACTGGGACAAAATCTGTTGTTTCAGGTAAACTCAAAAAAAACCCCCAACAACAAAGACGGTAATCATAATCTCAGACAAGACAACAATAGAAGAATCACTACTTAAAGGAAAGGTTAATTAATTTACAAGAGGAAATAAACAACAAAATAGCAGCAGTTGGGAATTTCAATGTACCTCTTCCCCCCCTTACCCCACCCCTCGCCCCTATAACTAGACAAATCTAGCCAAAAGTTAAACAAGAAAGAATAAAGGACACAAACAGAATTGTTAGCCAAGTTAGATATGCTAGATCTCTGGTGATTACAGAATGTGCACAGAAAGGCATATACATATTTCTCAGATGTGTACAGCACCTTAAAAAAAACCAAACTGGTGATGTGCTGGGCATAAAAACCCTCCAACAAATTTAGAAAGCAGAAATATTAAATACAGCCTTTATTGATCGCAATGCAATAAAAGCTATATTCAGTAAAGAGCCTTTGGTGAAAAGATTAAAAATTTGGAGGCCAAACTTAATCCTAAAGAATTCATAGATCAAGGGGGCAGTTAGGTGGCACAGTGGATAGAACACTGGCCCTGAATTCAGGAGGACCCGAGTTCAAATTCGGCCTCAGACATATAACACCTACTAGCTGTGTGACCCTGGGCAAGTCACTTAACCCCATTGCCTAGCAAAAAAAAAAAAAGAATAATTCATGGATCAAAGGACAAATCATAGGAAAAAACAGAAAACTTCACTAAGAAAAATGAGAAGAGTCAGCATGCTGGAAATGTTTGGGTTTCAGCCATACCAATACTGAGAGGAAAATGTATAATCTCTAAATACTTTCAGAAATAAAGGAGGAAAATGGATCAATAAACTATTTCACTTAATTAGAAAACCGGCAAATTAAGAAACCCAAATTAACCCCCAAAGTAGAAATCCTGAAAATCACAGAAGAAATTCACAAAATCAAAAGGAAAAAAGAAGCTTTTGATTTGATAAATAAAACTAGGAGGCAATCTTTTTCAGGAAACAATAAAAATCATAGTTTTATTCTTTGAAAGAGCAAGGAAAAAAACAAATTCCCATTATTGGTAATGAAATTATAATGAATGAAGAAATAAAGAAAATTGTTAGGCATTATTTTTCCTAATCATGATGAATATAAACAAAACAATATAAAATACCCAGGTGAACAGAATAAGAAAGAGGGAATCTAAATAACCAGACCTTAGAAAAAGGAGTTAAAAAGAGCAAAAAATAAACTCTCAAACCAGAGGAGGTGGCAGAGTGGGGGGAGTAGAAAAGGACCAAATAAATTCAAATATGACTTCTATCAAACATTAAAGCATATTCAATTCATGTATTAAATGAACTCTTTGCAAAAATTTCTCATTATACAAATATGGTCTTGAGACCTAAGCAAGGAAGACACCAATCAAAAAAAGAAAACTAAGAGACCAATAATCCTAGTGAATATCAATACAAAAATTTGACATATTTTGTTAGTAAAGAGGCTACAGCAGTTTACAAAAAAAGTGTTACCAGTAGCATTGATCAATATGAATGACCATGTAGGATTATAGTAGGAATGTTGGGTCAATATTGTATAAACTATAAACATAATAGGTCACTATTAACAAAAGCAATGAAACAAAACTGAACAGAAAGAACTGGAGGAGAGCGAGGTTGTATGGCTTTATGGTACTCTGTTAAGCCTGAGGGAAAAGAGGTGGGTGTCTAGCTACAGGAAGTTCTTTTCCTCAGAAGTCATTTAAGGTAGAGACAGGCTGGGAAAATTTTGAGGTTCAGCCCCCAGGGAAAGCATAATCAAAGTGGAAGGAGTCAAAAAGTGAAAATAAGGACAAATAAGGAAAAAACACTGAAGTTACCAAAGATCTCAGGACGAAGAAAACTTGAAGACCTTGAATATAAGCAGATAAATCCACTGAGATGATATTAATAATAGAAGGGAATATGGGCTCCATATAAGCTAAGCAAGTTCAGACATCTACGAATAAATATTTTAATACCAAAGAAAATGAATCAATACCTCATAAGGTAGAAGATGCTATTGATTCCTAAAGAGAAAACAGCACCACAGCAAGATGTTTTTGATGTGTTTAAAAGAGAAATAAGAACTGTGAAAGCAGAGTTTATAGCCTGCACAGTAGAAATAATTGGCAGAATATAAAATTTTGAATCCATGGTGACAAATCTCACTAAAGAATGAATAATTGATTGGGAATGCAAATGCACAGAAGTGAAGGATGATCTAGAAGAGGAGAAAAAGCATTAGCAGGAAGATGTAAATGATAGTGACATTTTAGTGTCAGTTTTCTATGTATGTGGATGAGATCTGCTAAGACTCAGAACTCTGGGAGGTTAGCTCTTAAAAGAGTAGAAAGTAGGAAGGAAGGACCCTGCAGACTAGAAAAACTACATGATCAAAAGTTTGGAGGTAAGCCTGTATATGGCAAGTTTGGTGAAACAAACACAGATGAGTTTGGATAGAAAAGAGGGTTAATGTCTGTTGAATTTCATTCATATAAAGAAGTAATGGAAAATAATATTCTTTCCCCTTCCTACCTTTCCTGTCTTCTTATACTTCACTCTTCTCTGTGTACTCTAAGATCCAGTGATACTTGCTGTACCTCTCATACATCAGTACCTTCTTATTGCCTCTCTCATATGCCTAGATTACTCTACCTTCTCATCTCTACTCCTGGCTTCTTTTAAAACTTAGCTTAGACCTCACCTTCTGTAGGAGGCCTTCCTGATTCCAAATCCAGCACTTTTTCCTCTGTGCCTCCTATCTATGGGATAGGATTGCTCTCTCCATCTCAGTTGATTTTAGTCAGAAGACCCAGAATGCTATCACAAGATGTTAATGAGGTGTTATGTTGACTATAGATGAATCCTTGCCCCAAGCCCTTTATCAGCAGCAAACACCTTTCTGATTTAAGAAAGAAAGCCAATTCAGTAGGCTGAGAAAACAAATTAGCCACATATCTGGGAACCTAAAATATCTAAAGCCCTGAGGCATTTAAAGCTCTCAACAGTAAAAGCTGCTTATTAGGGAGATGGCTTCTGGGAGTGGTAAAGGAATTTCTCCCATCCTCCATTCCCATCAGCAATATAATTATGATTAAGGATCCAGAGACACATTCCAGTTAGACACAGATGGAAACATCCAGGGAAAAAATAGATTTAAGGACCATGACCACTGACAGTAGGACTATGAAGAGGAATAGATCCCAAAATTCATCATAAAAAGCTTTACAAAGAGAGAAAGGCCCTCCAGGCCCTGTAGTATAAGACATTGTGAGTTGCTTTTACCATATATGTATCCTAAACATGAGCCTCACTGTCATTTATACTTAAGTTTGAGTGCATTCTTCCCATGGGCACTGTATCTGTATGAGAGAGAAGGTACTCCTTGTAAGATGTTTTGTAACTACTATTCTTCTTTTGCTAAGAGCTAATTATGTATTTGCCCATTGTTAATGGGAAGTACATTGATAAGGAGCTCATTGAGACTAAAGTGTTTTGAGTACAGATTCACAGGTTTACCCCTAGAACCTGAGGTAAAAGCTACCCTTCAAGAACCCAACCTGCAAACTTAAATGCAATTTGAAGGAATATTCTGAAGGAAGATACAAATAAATATATGTACATATATAATATATATACGTGTGTGTGTTGCATATATTTGTGTGAGTATACACATGTGAATTGTATATACATGTGTATATATGTTATACATACACATATGCAAATAAAATTTGAGAGTCTTCATCCATATAGGTGATAGTTTAAGTTATAGGGTTAGAAGAATTCTGTACAAGAGAGAGAATGTAGGATGGGGGAAGCCTGAGGTTAGATTCCAAATACTCCCTCATTTAGGGAGTCAGAAGGAAGAATTATAGCCATTGATAGATACAAAGCAATGGTGACATCAAAAATAATAAGAATCAGGACATGTCATTGAAGCCAAGGGAGGGAGAAGGGGGCTAGAGTCAATTTTATCTGGTCCTGAAGAGAGATCAAGGAGAAGAATTATTTGAATTTGGCAAATTTGTCATCTCTATATTTGACTTTAGTCATATTTCTGATCAAATTTTTCTTGATGGTTAAAAAGAAATTGATAGGTACCTAAGAAATAGCCAGTTGTTTTTATGGCATAGTCAGTTTTCTTGCTTATTCATTGACAAAAAAATGGATGTTTAAGTTTATATAAATATTTTCCTTATTGTCTATTTTTTAGGAGACAGATGAGCAGAAACTTCACAAAATTGCCACAGAACTCTTGCTTACGGAAAGAGCCTATGTTAATCGACTTGACCTTTTAGACAAGGTAATATTTTCCTTTTCAGGAAAAAGTTTATTTTTTGTTATCTCTGTTATTTATATTGTGTTATTTGACATTGTAAATAATGTAAAATTTAGAATATTACGCTTTTTTCTAGAAAAAGAGTAAAGTTTCCAGCTCTTTAGTTACTAGTAATTGCCTCAAGTAAATGTTTACTATGATCTGTATTTTTGTATGTGAACTTGTTGGGCTTAAATATTTCTTCTTGACAAACATAGAAACAATAAGCTTCTGTAGTTAATCATAGCAAAACAAATGACATTGTAAGCTGTTTGCATCAGTTCCTTCAACCAATCTATGGCAGTAGGTAGAGGAACCAAAACTTTAGTTGAAACATCCAAAAGAGAAAGGATAAGTCAGGGTAATATATAAGAGACAGAATGTGTGTGCCTGTGTGTGCAAACATACATCGAAGAACCAATACCCACTAAGATCACCAGAAAAACAAAGGAAGCAATTGCCAGGTTGTAGCAAAAAGCCTGAAGCCCAAGGTGTTCAGAGGCCAAGTAAGAAGTGTCTTCATCTATTCTCATAGAAGTTAATAGTGTCAACAGGCCAACAGTCAGAGTTAGACCATACAGTACTAGATTAATAATTTTTATTTGTTGGATATTTAATGCTCTTCATAACCTTTTCCATTCCTACCTTTCCTGTCTTCTCATATTTTACTCTTTTCTACATACTCTGAGATCCAGGTACACTTGCTATTCCTCCTATCTCTGTACCTTCTTACTGACCTTCTCATGTGCCTAAAATATTCTACCTCTTGATATTCCTGGCTTCTTTCAAAAGTTAGTTTAGGCCACACCTTCTTTATGAGGCCTTCCTGGTTCTTCTTCCCAATCCCACAATCACTTCAACCTTCCTTTCTAAAGTTATCTTCCATCTGCTCTGTAGTTTGTATGTGCTTATTAATTTGTGTGTTTTCTTCCTTATTAGTATGTAAGCTTCTTGAAGGCAGGAACTTTTTACATTTTGTGCTCCTCTTTGTGTCCTCAGCATGTAGCACTGTGCTTGGCATATGGTAACCACTTAATGAATATTTGTTGCTTGATTGGTTTTTTTCCCCAATGTATTATTTTCATCCTCTGAAATAGTAGAAACTTTTTTTTAAAACCTAAAAGAAGGATTATATTATCTTTTTCGAAAATTAGGGAAAGCCCATATTCTCTCTCATTGGCAAAGATTGGCAAGGATCCCAGGCTAAGAGAGATGAGGTACTAACATCTTGAAACCTATATTTTGATAATAAATGAAACCTTGGGGGTTGCTAGTAGAGAAAAGTGGGAATTATAAGGAAGTATTCAGCTGGCCTATAGTTTCATGCATTTCTGATTCTATATGCTTTCAAAGTACCTTTTTCAGATAGAAATTAAAGCATTTTATAGGGTAAAATAAGAGAATCAAAAAATTTCAGGGCACATTGAAGATTTTTGGTGAGAAATGTGACCATAGAATCATAGACTTAGGCTTAGAAAAGACCTTAAAATAACCCTAACCCCCTCATTTTGCAGATAAGGAAACTGAAGCTCAAAGCACTTAAGTGACTTGCCTCAGAACTTTGATAGTAGAAAAAAATATTATTGCTTCAATATTCACTGTCTCCTGAAGACTGACATCTCTGGAGCTGTCTAGATAAGTCTCATTTTCTTAATATTCCTTTTATTCTTGGAGTAAACCAAATTTCTGTTAGGTTGGTAAGATAAGGACTTTTTTGTAATTCTGATTCTCAAATATATGCCTTTTTCTTTTTTTATTAGTTTATTTTAAACTTAAATACACAATAAGAAAAGAAAAAGAAACATTACAAACTTAATATTAAAACATAAGTGTAAAATAAGAAAAAAAAAGCATTGCCATGTGCACAGCACAACGTAAAATAAGATTCAAAACAAACAGCAATAAATTTCCGTTTCAAGAAAGATTATATAACACATCCTATGGGGGCAGCTAGGTGGCACAGTGAATAGAGCACTGACCCTGGATTCAGGAGGACCTGAGTTCAAATCCAGCCTGAGACACATAACATTAGCTGTGTGACCCTGGGCAAGTCACTTAACCCCATTGCCTAGCCAAAAAAAAAATATTTAAAAAAAATACTGTGCATTGTGTTCAGAGCTGTCCATCTTTTCTTTGCTTCCTTGTAAGTTTTCTTTTCTTCTCTGTTGTGTACTTTTAACTTTGTTCTTTTTTCCACCTTCCTCCTTCCCCTCCATGTGTGTGTGTGTGTGTGTGTGTGTGTGTGTGTGTGTGGTATGTATGTGTGTATATGTGTATATATACATATACACACATATATTTAGATATCTATAATTATGCTCATATATAGACATACACATTCATATGCATCTATGTAAGAACCATACTATACTTATTTGTCCTCTGTTTCTCTGAGGGTGGACAATCTCTTCCTTCATAAATCTGAGTGTTTCTATGTTTTTCTAAGTTTACCATCTTGTCATTTCCTACACCGCAGTAGTATTCCAACTTTAAACTGTCTAGTTATTTTAAATAGTCTAAAATAATATTGATTAACATGGCTGACATATAGTGTAGTTTTCCTATTTTTCTATATTTGATTAAATCTGTTTCAGCTTTAACTTTGTCTGAGATCATGATTACTACCCCTGCTTTTTTCCTCTAATAAATTCTACTGTTTACCTTTATTTTATATATGTTTGCGTGTTTCTCTTATTTTATATCCCTCCTGACTCCTCTACTTTACTTCTACCTTGCCCTCTTATTACTTAACCTACCCCACTACATGGATCCATCCCTTACATTCCATTCCTGTTCATCTACACACCCTTCTGTTAGCCCCTTATGGTATTTCCTCAACTTCCCCTCTAAAAATCCCTCCCTTATCCTCTCCCCCCCTCCTTATCTGCTTAGTCTTTTATTTCTTTCTGAATTTAGAAGATGTTTGTATCTTTCTAGAGATTTTATATATATATATATATATATATATATATATATATACATATACATATATATATATATATATATACATATATATATATATATATATATATATATATATATATTGTTGCCTCTTAACCCATTCCTAATGAAAGTAGGGTTCTAAAAGTACCAGCCCTTCTCCTCCATCTAATTCCTCTGTGTCAGTTTTCTTCTTGCACCTCATTTATATAAGATAATTACTATTTTTACCTTTTCCTAAATGGTTTTACTTTTTAGAATCACATACTCAGGTTTACCCCAATCTTTCTTTCAAACTACTCAGTTACTAATACCAATCTTACACATATGTTTTACATTTCCCCATATAAAAAGTAAACAGTCTGTCCTTACTGATTCCCTTGTAATTAGTTTTTGGCATGTAACTTATATTTCTCTTAGATCTCATATGTCAAATCTTCTATTAAGTTCAGTAATTTTTTTTTTAAATAAAAATTCCAAAGTCTGGCAATTCATTAAATGTCCATTTTTTTTTCATTCAGCATTATGCTTAACTTTGCTGGGTATGATATTTTTAGCCACAAACCCAGTCCTTTTGCTCTTTGCTATATAGTTTTCCAAGACCTGCTGTCTTTTAATGTCACTGTTGCTAAGTCTTATGTGATTCTAATTGTAACAGTGCCATATTTAATTTTTTTTCTTGTTCTTAATATTTTTGCCTTGAGGTGAGGTTTCAGAATTTGACTATGATATTCCTGTAGGTTTTTCTTATAGTATCTCTTTAAGGTGGTGATAAGTGGATCTCTTCTATGTCTACTTTCCCCTCTTATTCTAACACTTCAGAACAGTTTTCTTTAATTATTTCTTGTATTATTATATCAAGATTCTTTTTTTGACCATAGCTTTCAGGTAGTCTAATTATTCTTATATTTTTTTTCTTGATCTGTTCTCCAGATCAGTTGTTTTTCTTATATTTCACATTCTCTTCTATTTTTTCATTCTTCTATTTTGCTTTATTAGTTCTTGGTCTCTTATAACTTCCCTGGCTTCCCCTTGTCCAATTCTAATTTTCAAGGAGTAATTTTCTTTCTTAAGATTCTGAATCTCCTTTTCCAATTGGTTAACTTTCTTTTCATAATCTTCTTGGATTGTTTTTTTTTTAACTTTTCTTCACTATCTCTCATTTGATTTTTAAAGTCTTTTTTTAAGTTCTTCTGTAAATTCTTTTTGGGCAGGTAATCATTTGACATTACTCTTTGGGGCAGAGGAGGCTTTTTTTGCTTCATTATCTTCCTCTGAAGACTAACGCCAGTCTTCTCTATTCCCAAAGTAATTTTCTATATTTGGATTCTTTCTTTTTTGACTGCTTATTTTTTAAAAATTCGTAGCAGCTTATTTTTTTGTAATGACCTCTAGTCCTGGGATATGGGGGATGATGTTCTCCCCTCTGGCTTGGAACCAAAATCAAGAACTCTGCACTCCTGTAAGTGCCCACAGCCAGCAATGTCCGTGCCCCACTGCTTCTGTACTCACTGAGCGTGTGCTGGTTCCTTCTTGCCTATGGCTGTTTTTCAGCAACACAGCTGGGTCTGGCATTCCTTATCAACAGAAGTTCTCTCAATCTTCCCTGGCTCAGAAGCCCAACTCCCCACACTATCTGGGAGGTGAAAGTTCTTGTGGCTTGGGCCAAGGCTGTCTTCCAACCCAGCTAGCCCCAGGGTTCCCCTCTTGCTATTTCAGTGGAACTAACCTGGAGGTGTTTACACTTCACAGCAACCAATTTGAGAGCTTATTTGGTTGTCCCAAGAGTACTACTATTCTGACCTCTTTTTTATTTTTACTGCTCTATATTCACCCTGAGGTACTATTTTATCTTGTTTGTGGGGAAAATCTAGAGAGCTTGGGATTTTCTGACCTATTCTACCATCTTCCCAGAATCATCTCTTTATATGACATTTTATTGAATAATTTTAACAAAAATAAATCATTGTTTAGATAGCAGTTAAAAATCATTTTAGCTCATTTTACTCTTAAGTATTTTGTGATATTTGGGCTTTCCCCCCCATGACTACAGATTGTATATTTATATACTTAGCTATATTAATGAGCCTGATTTTTTTTGCTGTGTTTGCTTGTTTTATTGATTTTTTTTACATCTGTCCTGCCAGTACCTATTATGAAGCTTTTTGCCATACATTTCCCTTTCTTTGAACTTGAAAATCTTAATTGTGATATTGCCCATCTGGTACCGATCTGTTGGTGTCCCTTAAGTCATCATTTTTTGTCTCTCTAGAAAATGCAGAGGAGGTGATTTACATATTTAGTAACCATCTGGACACTTGTCAATGAATAGCTCTCCTGTCTATATTCATCATAATAAGTAATTAGGAAATGCAATAACCTTAGTGAAGTACATCAAAGATTGTTCATATTTAAAATAGTTATTAGCTGTATGTATGTTGGAATATTTTTATCTTATGTTACATTATTAGATTGTCCATTAATTGGACATTAATATTTATTACTGAGCATTTAAAATTCTAAGTACTGAAAATTCATTCAGTATAAAAGTATTAACATTGTCTCTATAACAGGCATTGTGCAGAATACAAAGATATGTAAAATATGTTCTCCTCCCTAAGTGATTTTATAGTCCAATAAGGGAGTAGAATAGGTACACAAATTATTGCATTAAAAAAGTATGCAGTAAGTTCTATATTAGGGCATATAGTGTGCTGTAGGAAAAGTGAATGGAAAAAGAACCTTAAGTACAATTCAGTTCAACAAACATTTATTAAATTCCCACTATGCACAAGGCACTGTTTTGAGATTGAAGTAGGTTAAATGATTGCACAGGGTCATTCAGATGTTTAGTCATTGATAACAGGTTAGATCCCAGATCTTTTGACTACCAAGCATGGATTCTTCCCATTATACTAGACCAAAGTCCTAAACATGAAATCAAAATTAATTCCTTTAATCATGTTTTTAAAGGTTGGGGTTTTTTAGCACTCAGACATGCTTATTCTGCTCTTTTGCTTCAGATATTTTATTGCAAACTATTGGAAGAAGCTAATCGAGGCTCATTTCCAGCAGAGATGGTGAACAAAATATTTTCTAATATTTCATCAATAAATGCATTCCATAGTAAATTCCTTTTGCCAGAGTTGGAGAAACGAATGCAGGAATGGTAAGAAAAGATGATTTTTAAATGATGGGTTTACATGATGAGAAAACTGCCTATGCTACTAAGATATAGATTGTTTGTTTTCCTTACCAAACCCCAAAAACCAAAACCAGGCAATCCTTCAGCAAACAGTGTGTATTTTATGTGGCAAGGTTCTATTATCTGTAATTCTTATTTATAGGTCAGCCTCTCATATTTAGTCATCTCAAATTCTAGGGTGATCTAGGATTATGTTTGCATTTTTCCTTATTGATAAAATTTCAACAAATCTCTCAAGTCACCTAAGATCAGACTCCCAACTCAGTTCAGTAAAAATCATTTAATAAAATAGAGAAACCTTTCTCTTTTACCAGCTGCTCACATCTAGCTATATTACCCCACCACCACCACCACTCACCAAATCTCCTACAATTGATTACTTACTGGATGTGGAACTTATTAACACTATAATCAATCATATCACAAAGGCATCAATAATTCTTAATACTTGCTTAACTGTAAAGGAAAAAGAAAATCATACTCAGAGTTACCTGAAACCATGACTGTTGATTGCTGGTGGTTTTTTCTTACTTTTGAAAACCTAGGCCCACCACTTAACCTTCAAGATTAAGAACCCTCCAGATTCCCAGATGTCTCATCTCATTTATACTCTTCAACCTCCCTGCAGGATGAAGGTCAAAGTAGTTTGGTAAAGAAGGGAGCCTACTCCACCTTCTGATTCTCTCAGTCTGTCTCTAGCCAATAAGTCCATTGGGCTTCTATTACCTCTCCTACCACTTACCTCTTCTATACCCACTCTTAACAGTCTCTTCAGTCTCATAAGTTTCTCTTTATAATATCTTTCTATAGAGCAACTTTTAAGATCATTAGAACAAGAAAGAAGTTTTGCCTGCTCTTCTTTGTTTTTGTCTTTTTGATAGTTTCTATCATATAGCCTTATGGATCAGAGTTATATTAGTAAATGTTTAACAACCAGCTATCCCCCCTGAAGAAAACCCCAAAAGAATGCATATAACATACTTTTAAGTTTCATCTACATTGTTAACATTTTTCATCATTTTGTTGTTATGATAATTAACAAAACAATAAATCAAACCCTTATTTGTAGGGTTTGCTGATTTCCTAGGAATAGCTGAAGGAAAAGGGAAGGGAACAAGCATTTACATGCTGCCTACTGGCTGGCTCCTGTTTATGGGTCAGCAATAAAAATATGTACTTCCCTTGACTCCATAGAGAGTTATAAGCACCTCATAGATGAACAGTTACAATTGTACCTCATGGCATGTATGATCTTAAAGAGACAATAATAGTTTCTATAACCTCTGTAGGAGTGACCTTTGAAATAGAGAGTTACAGATAGGTATTTTTACCCAGAAAAAACTGGTAAATAACATACTGCATTTGTGGCCAAAAAAATTACAATTTGAATATTTATTGAAGGTGTTGCTGCCTCTATTCTCCAGCTGCTTTTAGTTGAGAAGAGACAAGGCCAATTTTAAGCTCTAGGGGAGAACTTTATACCTCTGACTTGAGGACACTTCACTTTCTACTCCCTGAGGTTCAATAGTTTTAATATAGAGAAGGATGACTTCCCCACAATTTTGTTGATTTGCTCAAAGTATAAGAGAGCTTAATAATCCATTTACTGCTTTGTTCTGCAGGGAAACTACTCCTAGAATTGGTGACATCCTACAGAAATTGGCTCCTTTCCTCAAAATGTATGGAGAGTACGTGAAAGGCTTTGATAATGCAATGGAATTGGTTAAAACCATGACTGAACGGATAGCTCAATTTAAATCAGTAGTTGAAGAAATTCAGGTAATAGGGTTGTCAAGTCTATAAATATTTTTCTTGTTATAGTGGACTGTTAAAAAATGAAAGATCTCTTTCAGCTATACAGTTTTGAGTCTTTTCCCATTCCCTGAAGGTTGTGAGGTCCAAAAGTGTGCAATCTGCAAGAAAAACCACTGAGATAGAGCTCTAAGCCAATAGCACTTTGTTAAAGGGTCTGTGGCTCCCTCTAATGAAGTGGACCTCAGATCTTCCTCATGATCTGAGATACCTCCTTTTCCCAGGGCCTGCACAAAAGGCATGAATACAGAATCTCACTGGTTATTAGAATTTGATTTTGACACTCCAGGAGGGCCAGAAATGATGCATCAGCATGGGTGGTCACAAAATTGGCAAGGCAAGTATCACCTCTCCTGACTAAGTGGTCATAAGATGGTCACCTGCTCATGGTGGACAAAAGAAGGGTGGTCCAGAGAGTCAAAAACAAATTGGAGGACTTTCCATGTCATGCCACCTATGCTAGGCTTAGACATAGATTTGAGGAGAACAGAATGGAGATATCTTTGTCAGCATTCTTGTGGTTGTGCAAGTGAGCTCCATAACTGGTAAACAAGTGGTGAATGTTAGATCAAAGTTTGAGGCCTACTATAAGAACCTATCTTGTCTAATTATTTCTGCGTGATTTATGTAAAATATATATGAATACATGTTTATTCTTATACTATTGTTAGATGACTGACTAAATACACATCACTAGATTATGTTACTAATAATTGCTAATAATCTCTACCCTTTATGGAATCACACTTAATTGATTAATACTGATTGAAGTAGAGTAGGGGTTCAAATGAATCATTTCTCACGAGGAACTCTTAAAAATAATAAAAAATGCTTTGTATAATCTATTCTTGTAGCAAATAAAGTTAGTTTTTTCCCATTCCTTTTTAAATTTGCATAATATTTCCTCATGAATCAGTCAGCAAATATTTATTAAGCTTCTGCTATATGTCAAACATTATATTCAGTTGATCCCTTCCTGGCCTCTAGTCTACAGGTTAGTTTATCGGAGCAACTGTGGAACATTTAAATCTTACCTGATTTACACAGAACTAGTGCTCATAATGTTATTTTTGGTCACTTTGGGTAGATTATAAATACCTTGAGGATGGAGATGATTTGTTTTTGCATTTGTATTTCTAGTTTGTACTGATTGTGCAGTGTGTTGTTCTTTCCTATTTTGCCAAGTGTGTACTCTACTATAACTACCATAATTTCCACTTTACCCATTTTTCTTTGATCAGATATGTTAAAAAAAATATTTAAGAGAAGTGTTCTTTCTGTCCTGGCTATAATTCTCAGCTTAATGTATGTAAAAAGGGTTTGTAAGCTTTAAAGTTCTATGTAAATGTAACATTATTTATAACTATCAAATAGGTTTAATATATACTTTGATTCTTCAGTGGGCCTGTTATGTAATTGATGTGGGATCTCTTTCCCATCTATCCATGATGACAATTGTGGATCTTCTTTGTCCATTCAAAAAAAAAAAAGAGTGTCCATTCAATATAGAAGGGAGGTGTGTGGGTTGATTGTTTTTGTTATTTTTTTGTTTTTGTTAATACTGAGGTCTGTGATTTTTTTTTCTACTGTAAATTTGATGTCCTTCTTGAGAACTGATTACTCTTTGCCCTCAAAATTGTGTCATATACAGCACAAACCTCTCACTAGTCTACGTTCCCTCCACATCTCTTTTTTTTCTTTAGTGCCATTTTCTACCTGTAACTCAATAGGGCTGTGAATAGAATAGAATCTACCATCACTGATGGAGAAGAAAGTTTGTTGTAGAAATCTTGACAGATATTTTCCATTCTTTATCTTCCTTTGAGTTTTATTCTTAACAACCATAGAGTGATCTTAGTTGAGTCATTTTTCAAGGTTTCTATAAAATTGTTTTTCCTTTCACTGTTTCTTGTTTCATAAGATGACACTGTGCATAATGTCCACTATTCTCCTCTGAAGATTTGACAAACAAGTTTATATATGGTCTAATTTTTTGTTTTTGAACATGAAATATTATTTCATGGGTTTAAGGGAACTCTCAGTGAAGAAACTCTCTGTACTAATACAGATCAGCAGATGTTCTGCAACAGTCTGACAGTTGCCTGGAGTACTGAGAGGTTAATTGGCTGTAGTAGTGTGACAAACGGTGTATGTTAGAGGCAAGTCTTGAAGCCATGTTTTCTTGGCTAGCTCTCCACAATGCTTCTCATATATGCTATTGTTTTCAAAATACTCTATTGAACATTTCTATTAAGCAGAAGTAGCAGTTCAGTTTAATAGAATCTACAACAAAATTAATAGCACTAATTCTTGTTATAATTTACCTAGTGTAACGATCCCAAGTTTTTTATATTATCTTAAATCTTTTGTGCCATTTAAACTTTTAAAAGATTTCCACTAATAGTAAAAGTTAAAAAATAAATTGAAAAGCATTGATTGATATTCAGAGGGGCTAGTTGTAAATCCTATTTCCTCCCCTCATTTACCTGACTGACTTTGGGCAAGTTATTTAAACCTCTTTGTTCCTCAGTTTCCTCAATTGTATAATGAAAAGCTTGGACTAAGTAATCTCTAAAATCCCTCCTGGTCCATAATCTTATGACCTCCTATGTTGTTCATATGGTTGTATGAAAACTTTGGAATTATCTCAGAGAAAGCTTTTTTCTTCATCGCTAACTAACTGGGGTGGGGGCGGGGGGAAGATGTTCTTAACATACCTCTTCTTTAAGAAAGGGCAATGAATTTTCATCTTTTAGTTTCTAGGAAGGATAAAGGGCTTGCCTGATAAATGTTTTGTCAATTGAATTATGTATTCAAATATGACAGTACAGGTATTGAAGAATGGTTTAAGTTCAAAAGCACTGACATTTAATTAGAAAATTGTTTCTACTCAGCTCAGCAAAAAAAGTCAGCCCTATGGTATACTATGAACCTCATTAATTCCTTGCTAAAAAGCTCTGGGAAATGATTTTATGATTTGCCTTTATCAAGCCTTTAAGCTGAAATAGTGAAATGGTTACTCGTCACCATGAATTCTAATGTTGAAAATTCCACTTTGTCTTCCCTTCTGCCTACCTTATTGTTGCTCCAAATAAAAACCTTTCACATGGTGACTTATGTGAGATTAAATGAATGAAAAAAGTTTTCTTTAAAGTATCTTTTCTCTCTCCAGAAACAAAAGATCTGTGGGAGTTTAACACTGCAGCATCACATGCTAGAACCTGTACAGCGAATCCCCCGATATGAGATGCTCCTTAAAGACTATCTAAGGAAATTGCCTCCTGACTCCTTAGACTGGAATGACGCTAAAAGTAAGTAACAATTTTTTTTAACATGGTCAGATAACCATTTAGTCCAATTTAGCAGTAGCCTTCAAGGTATAACATTAAGATAGCAAAGAATAGGATCAATGGAAATTATTTCACCAAAACTTGGGTTACCATATGATTTTTTGCTAAGGTTAGAAGAGGACAAACTGTACTGTTTGCGCTAATTTCATACTTTATGATTGGCTATAAATCTTAAAGTGAGAGCCCTATCTAAAACAGTACTTCCACATTCACTCCCATTTTTAAAGAAATGATAATTAGAACTTGATTTCCAATTAAGTAAAGCATGTGATCTATTGACCTTAAACCTGGGAGCTTCATGTATGACTTTGATCCCAAATTTCTAACTTTCCTGTTGTATTTTATGTACTATTCAGCAATGCAACATTATGAGGAGGAACAAAACATATTTATTTGCTTTTCTGATTTTCTTTCCATATAGAATCACTTGAAATTATCTCTACTGCAGCAAGCCATTCCAATAGTGCAATACGGAAAATGGTAGGTGGTTTTGAGAGGAAAGAAAAAGCCTAGTTAGTGAATTATTTGTACTTTAGTCATCTATGAGGTTAGCCTACTCCCTACCCCAGCAAAAGTAACTCCGTTTAACAGACAAGGATAAAAACAGCCACATTTTTCATTATTGCTTTCTGCTATATGTATTGTCACAGATTAATTCATTTTTAGTACTGCTGGATCATAGAATTTGAGCTGGAACAAATTTCAGAGGCCAATTCTCTTATTTTTAAGATGGGGAAACTGAAGCCTTGGGAGGTTAAATGACTTGCGCCTAGGTCCTCTTACTCCAGAGCCAGTGTGCTTTTCTTCTGTACCCAACCAGTTCTCCCCATCCTGCCAATGTTTACCTGTGGGTTTTATTTGTTTGCTTGTTTCTTTACTGTTGAATGAAGCAGTTATTACTATATTTCTCAACCTTTTATTTCACCAAAAATATTCCTTAGTTATTTGAATACCAGCTAAACTGAATAATGAATTGTGATTATTTTTTTAAACCTTTCATTGGTTCTTTGACTTCACTAGGAGAATCTTAAAAAGCTGTTGGACATTTATGAGATGTTGGGAGAAGAGGAAGACATTGTTAATCCCTCAAATGAGCTCATACGTGAAGGACAAATCCTTAAGCTTGCTGCTCGAAACACATCAGCTCAAGAACGTTATCTTTTCCTAGTAAGTATCATGATGTTTATGGAGCGTTGAGGGACACCAAAATTCTCAGGCACAGATTGGGAAATTAGAATTCTTACTTACAAATATATATATATATATATAAAATATATATAAATACATTCTTTGTATTACGTTTTGGGGAAATCAAGTGGTCTAAATAAGTGCTTTCCTAGGAAACTAGAGTGCCTTTGTCATAGCAACCTTACCAAAACTTTGCTTTGTTTCAGCATTTTTTAAGAAAATCTTTCTAAAATGGATTATTCACTTCCTTGTTTAACAGTGTATTGAAAATAATTTAACCTTTACTTGAGGATTCATTCATATCATCATAAATATCAGTTATATGTATGGGTAACCTTCTGATTTTGGCTTTAATAATTTTATTTGTATAAAAGATTTTTAATTTTAAATAATATTGTCTATTTCATCTATACATGGTTTTACCTCCTCCCACTGTATTTAGTAATAACAGTAAAATAGTAGTTAAATTTATACAGCATTTACTATGTACTAGGCACTGTGCTAAACACTTTACAGTTATCTCATTTTATCCTTACAGTAACCCTGGGAGGTAGGTGCTGTGGTGAAACTCAGTCAGAGGTTAAGTGCCTTGCCCAGGGTAATACAGAAAACCAGATTTGACCAGATTTGAACTCAGCAATTGCTTACTCCATGCTTGGCACTCTATCCACCCTTCAGCTAGCTACGTATTTATCTCTTCAATTTCTTTTACTATTATTGCCATAGGTTCTATTTATGACACAGTCAAGCAGTAACAAAGACAGGAATCTAAGACTCCAGTTTGTTTCAAATAATGTTTGTTCTTAATTTTAGCTACATTTTAAGGAAAGGCCATCCTTTTATGCCTATACTTTTAAACTTGTTTTAAGGGTGGGGGGTGCAACAGAGCCAAGATGGTGGAGAAAAGGCAGGGACTCACCTGAGTTCTCCCAAATTCCCCTCCAAATAACACCTCAGAACAAATTCTGGAGGAGCAAAACCCACAAAAGGATGGGGTGAAACAATTTTCCAGCCTAAGACCACTTAGAAGGTTGGCAAGAAAGGTCTGTTGCACCAGGGTGAGAGTGGAGCTCAGGCTGTGCCAACCCAGGCCAAGCCCCAGCAAACTCTCAGCAAGCCTTGGGCATGACTGAATCAGCTGCAGCAGTGGCTGCTTCCAGAGCTTTCACCCCACAGAGATGGTAAGGAGGTAACACAGCTGGTTGGAAGGAGATTACAAGGGTCTGTTTGCTGGCACCAGGAAAAGGACTGTGTTGTATTACCCATACTGTTAAGAAGGAGCATTAACACATTAGAGCTTGTAACTGCAGGAGAGTAGGGACCCTGGTCACAGTTCCAGGGTGGAAGAGAGTGCTTGTGGTTGCTCATAGACTGGAGCACAGGCCAGGAGAGTAGTAAATACCTCTCCTTAGACTATACCATCTTGGAAAAACTGAAAGCTTGCAAACTTCCAAAACTACCTTTGAAAAGAGCTGCATAAAAAACCTGAAGCAGTTCCCCCTGCACCCCAAGAGCAGGGCCCACCTTTAATATGAAGCTGAGAAATAGGCTGGAAAAATGAGCAAACAACACAAAATATCATGACCATAGAAAGTTACTGTGGTGACAGGGAAGATCCAAACACAAACTCACGAAGATGAGAAAGTGAAAACTGCTTTATCCAGAGCCTCAAAGAAAAATATGAATTGGTCTTAGGACCTGGAAGAGCTCAGAAAAGGATAGAGATAGAGAAAAGGTTGGGAAAAGAAGTTACAGTGGTGTAAGAAAATCATGAAAAAAGAGTCAAAAACTTGGTAAAGGAGGCACAAAAAATACTGAATAAAATAACACCTTAAAAAACAAAATAGGCTAAATAGTAAAAGAGGCACAAAAATCCAATGGAGAGCAAAATGCTTTAAAAAGCAGAATTGGCCAAATGGAAAAAGATGTACAAAAATAAACTGAATAAAAGAACTCCTTAAAATGTACAATTGGCCAAATGGAAAAGGAAGCACAAAAGCTCATCATGGGAGAAAATAATTCTTTAAAAATTAGAATTGGACAAATGGAAGCTAATGACTCTATGAGGCATCAAGAAGCAGTAAAACAAAATCAAAAGAATTTTTAAAATGGAAGAAAATGTGAAACATCTCATTGGAAAAACAACTGGCCTAGAAAATATGTCTAGGAGAGATAACTTAAGAATTATTGGATTATCTGAAAACCATGATCAAGAAAAGAACCTAGGTATCATTTTTGAAGAAATTATAAAGGAAAACTGCTCTGACATCCCAGATCCAGAAGATAAAATAGAAATTGCATATACCAGTCACCTCCTGCAAGAGATCCCAAATTGAAAACTCCCAAGAATATTATAGCCAAGTTCCACAGCTCCCTCATTGAGAAGGCAAGCAATTTGACGTAGGTTATACATGTGCGGTCATGCAAAGCATATTTTCTTATTAGTCATGTTCTGAAAGAAAACAGACCAAAAAAAAAACTCAAGAAAAAGATTACAAAAAAGTATGCTTCGATCTGCATTCAGATTCCATCAGTTCTTTCTCTGGAGAAGGATTTTTCATCATACATCCTTCAGAATTGTCTTAGATCATTGTATTACTGAGAATCTCTAAGTCATTTGCAGCTGATTACGTATAATATTGCTTTTACTGTGTGCACTGTTCCACTGATTCCATTCACTTCACTTTGCATCAGTTCATGTAAATCTTTCCAGATTTTCCTGAGAGCAACCTGCTAATAATTTCTTCTAATAGCACAACACTATACCATCACAATCATGTACCATAAGTTGGCCAGTCATTCCTCAATTGATGGGCATCTGTTCAATTTCCAATTCTTTGCCACCACTAAAAGGGCTGCTATTTACTACACGAGAATTTTTAAATCTATGTAGTCCACCTGTGTCCTCCCCATTCCCAGCTATTAGTTTTTTCTCTTGAAATTACATTACTTTTTAGATATTTTGTACTTACTAATTCAATTCAGTTAAGTACCTAATATGTATCAGGCACTATGCCACGTACTAAGGATACAAAGACAAGAAAATGAAATGTAGTCCCTAATCTCAAGGAACTTAATTCTACTAGCGTAAACATATATAAGAATATTCAAAATAAATATCAGTTGAGGAGGGCACTATAGAAGCTAGATTACCAGAAAAGCCTCCATGTAGAAGGAGTACTTGAGCAGAATTTTGAAGGAAACAAGATATTTTGAGACATTGGTGTCAAATTCAGATAGAAATGGATCATCGCTGTGGGCCATATACTGACTTAAAAAACACACAAATTAACATCATATTTTATTTTATTTTTATTTGTCAAACATTTTCCAATCTGGTTCAGGTTGTACTTGTGAGTTTTGTAGGTACTTGCAGCTAGCAAGTGTGATACCTCTGTCTTAAGAAGCTAAGGTGAGGAGTGAGTACATTCCAGGCATGGGGGACAGGCTGTGTAAAGGCACAGAGAAAGGAGGTGAAGTGTCTTATATGAAAAATAGCAATGAGGGCGGTTTAGCTGGGTAATAAGTAATAAGGTTAGAAAGACAGGTTGGGACCAGGTCGTGAAGGGGCTCCTCCAACTTTTGTATCCAATCTGTGATGAGAATCTAGTAGCCAGGATAGATATAGAGCAAACAGTTTTCAAAAAAATTGAAGCTATTAACAACCATATGAAAGAATTTTCTATATCACAAATAATGAGAGAAAAACAAATTAGAACGACTGAATTTTCATGGCAAAGATGACAACAGAAATAATTGGTGTTGGAAGAGTTACAGCAAGATGAGTATACTAATACACTGTTGATGGGCATATGAGTTGGTCTGACTATTCTGGAAAGCATTTTGGAGTTTTGCTAAGAGTGTGACTAAAATGTCTGTACCCTTTGACCCGAACATGCCACTACTAGGCATATACCCCAAGAAGGTGAATTAAAAAACAAAAGCTTCACATACACCAATGTATTTTTTTGAGTAGTAAAGAACTAGAAACAAAGCTCATCAGTTAGTGAATACCTAAGCAAGTTGTGGTATATGGATATAATGGAATATTACTATGGTTTAGAAATGGTGAATATAAATATAGGTAAGTGTGGGAAAACTTATGTTAACTGATGCAGAGTGAAGTAATCAATACCAGGAAAACAATATCCACAGTAACTACAACAATGCAAATAAAGCAGCATCAAAAAATTTGAAATTGAATGCTCTGATATGGCTAATATGGATATATGTTTTACATGACTTCACATGTATAATTGATGCCATACTGCTTGCCTTTTCAATGAGTAGGGGAGGGACAGAAGGGAGGGAGAGAATTTGGAACTCAATTTTTTAAAAATAGAATTATAAATAAATTTTAAAAAGTAAATTGAATATGGTGAATTATGGCCAAGTTTGGTTCCAGAGAAGAGCGCACCCTCACATCCTTATTTGCAAAAGAAAACTGTTGCTTAGAAAGCTATATATGATGTCAGACTTTTTCAATATGTTTATATATTGCTGAATTGTTTCCTTTTTTTTTATTCTTTGTTATAAGTGATTGCTCTGGGGAAGGGAAAAGAAGGAAAGATACATTGTGAATGTAGGTTATATAAAAACAAAATATCTATTAAAATTTCATTTTTTAAAAAAATGTTATTGGAATAGGCTACGTTGGTGAACAGAGTGAAGGCCTAAATTTGGTGATGGCCATGGGAATGGAGAGAAGAGAAGAGATGCTACAGTACAACTTAGCAAATGAATGACTTACTTGAGAGATGATGGGTTCTCTTTCCTAGGAAGTCTTCAGTTGGTTTCTTTGGAAAGTCTACTCATTGCTCCTGATTCTGACCTCTAGGGACAAACAGAACAAATTTCATTCTTCTTTCCCAAGACAGCTCTTCATAGCTGAAGCAGCCATCATGTTTCCTCTCAGAGTTTTGTCTTATCCTTACTGAATGTCCCCAGGTCCCTCAATCTTCATGAGACATGGCCTCAAAGAGCCATGAATAGAAGAGCTAGAGATATAATCTACAGAACTTTGAATTCTAATTATGTAAGAGGTGAGGGAAAGGAAAGATTTGGAAGTGATGCTGAAGTTTTGTTACTGGGAAAAAGATGGGACATTTTCAGAGTCTTGAGAGTCATGTTTAGTGACTATGTTTAGTCTATGTAGGAAAGTATCAATATTCCTCAAGGGTTTTGCCCAAGTATGGGTTTTTAAGTCAGTCCTGAGTTAATACTACATTTTTACTTCTTTGTTTCTCTGCTTTATTTCTCTCTACTTCACATTTTTACAGTTCAACAACATGTTGCTATACTGTGTACCAAAATTCAGCTTGGTGGGAACTAAATACTCAGTTCGAACTAGAGTTGGTATTGATGGGATGAAAATTGTGGAAACCCACAATGAAGAATACCCACACACATTTCAGGTTTCTGGAAAAGAACGAACACTGGAATTACAGGCCAGGTGAGTGAACTATTCCTTTTTGGCAAAAATCAAAAAGCATCTGTATAAATTGCAAGATTGAATGGCTGAAGAAAATATTTCCCAGATACATTCTATAGCTCTTTTGGAGTCTGCTGGAATGCCTATAGGAAATTCCCTAAGATTAGAAGATATTTAAAAAACAACAAATTTAGAAGATAGACTAGAAAATTAACAATTGAATGAGAATAGCAATAAACTTATTGACATAAGTCATATTCTAAAAGACATTTCCTAAAAGAAAAGGTCAAAAGGTGCTTAAAGAATGACAAGGTAATGTTACATGGTTGGAAATGTAAAGAAACTCACATGGCTGGATATGATGAGAGGAAATTTTAACAGGATTCAGATGAATCTGTAAATCTTAGTCAAGATGCAAATAGAATCAGTGCTACAAATATAAAATACATAGTCAATACATTACCAAGGAAGTTTGTAAAAATTGGAGTCCAAGATGTTCTGCCTGGAAGAAAAAAAGTGGATTTATACTCTACAATTTTGACTGTAGAACTATGTCTTACTCCATTTGGTAAGGGCTTCCAAAGAGGTACTCTTGCAGTTTGTTATATTTTCTAATTTAGCAAGCAAAGAAATAAATCTTCCTTCTCTTACTGTTTATTTACATATAGGTATTTGAGTTTTTCTTTGGGTATCGACTTTGTGCTGAAAGAGAGATGAGAACAAAATTAAAATACTTTTAGAGTTATAAAAAAGTAACTTGTGGAAAGACTTTAAAAAATGGATATTTTTGTCACAATCAGAGCAGACTTGAAAGAATTTATGATGGGCTTCCAATGCAGGCATTTTCTGGTATCTCAGCAATTAGAATAAGGTGGTTCTGAACTGGCACAAATGGAATTCAGGTTAGATTCAAAGAGGGTTTACCTGAAGTGATTATTATTATTATATGTTTGAATCATCTAATTTATCATCTGCTTTCTGGAAGCACTTAAAAATAGCAAACATTTTAATTTCATTTCTTCAAGCTTGGTCTTGATGTGTGACTTAAAAACAGAAGATTAGTTACATATTACAACAAAAGAAATATTACAAAGAACTCCCCAAGATGCCTATGTATAAGGGGCAGCTAGGTGGCACAGTAGATAGAGCACCAGCCCTGGAGTCAGGAGGACCTGAGTTCAAATCTGGCCTCAGACACTTAATAGCTGTGTGACCCTGGGCAAGTCACTTAACCCCAATTGCCTTTAAAAAAATAAAAAGATGGCTATGTAAATAAACTTGTTTTATTTTGTATTTTCCTTGAGGCTTTTTTTTTTAAAAAATGCTCTTGAACTGGTTGGTCACTGTAGACTTCATCATTCCCTGTATTGAATGGGTTGATGGATCATGAGTTCATAGATTTAGAGCTGAAAGGAACCCAAGAGATCAATTATCATCTAGCCTGAGCTTCCTCACTTTACAGATAATTGACTTTGAATGAATTGCCCAGGTAGGTAATAATAGCTAGAATTTTAACTAGGTCCTCTGACTCTAGATCAAATGCCTTTTCTGCTACACTACACCACACACTGAGATTCCTGTTATGATACCATGTACATAAGGTCACTTAGGAGAGATTATGTGATGGCAGTTTCATTTTATAGTAGTGCAATGGTAGAAGCTAGAAATAAATTCACTGTACAATCCTCTTCCTCCCACCTACAGGACTGTCTATACTAAGTAAGTGAATAGGTTGAAATTCTTTTTAAAAAATTTTCTTTGTTGAATTGCCAGAGATATGTTAAATTTTTATTATGACCCTTTGCCATTCATCACTAAATTTTCTGGAAATAGGATCAACATATCTCAGTAAGCTTAGTTGCATTCACCACTTGTACCTCATTTATGTTTTCTGAATTTATTTTAAACTTTGCCAATTTATTTTTTTAGTTCTGAGCAAGACAAAGAGGAATGGATCAAGGTAAACATGATTCCTTATCTTCATTTTAACTTTTCCATATTCACTATATATGCCTAGATAATACATATTTAACTATTAGTGTATGTGATGTCCATTGGAAACAATTCATTTAATGGCAGGGGAGGGTATTACTGTACTAGATTTTGTTCTTCTTGTGTTTTCATCAGCTACATTCTTTAATGTCCATTTTGAATTTTTTAGGCACTTCAAAATACTATTGAAGCTTTCCATCAAAGGAATGAAACCTTCAGAAATGCTATAGCAAAAGATAATGATATGCACTTGGAGGTTTCTGTAAGTTCTTAACAATTTTTTTTTATTTTGTTTCAAATGATTATTGCTAAGGGCTAGCTTCATATACTTTCTTTGCATTCCTAGAGTACTGGAATTACAAACTAAGGTAGGGGTTTTTTGTTTTTTTAGCAAACTCTTTTCCTATACAATGTCAGAACAAGCTTTCTAGTCAGGATCTCTCTCTCTCTCTCTCTCTCTCTCTCTCTCTCTCTCTCTCTCTCTCTCTCTCTTTTTTTAATAATTGCCCTAGTGAGTGACCTTCCCATACATTTTGTAGCTGAAGTCTTTAGGCTATCTCTTTATGTAGGATTTCAGAACTGTGGTTTGAACAGTGCAACAGTGTTGTACCATTAGGTACTGTCCATTGGCAGGGGATAGTAATTTTCTCGTCTAAAATATTGCACAATTGGGTCCCTTGGCTTTTTAGACTGCTGAACTTGGGAAAAGGGCCCCAGATGGATTCGAGACAATGAAGTAACAATGTGTATGAAATGCAAAGAGTCTTTTAATGCACTGACAAGGAGAAGACATCATTGCCGAGCATGTGGACATGTAAGTACCAGTTTGTCACTTGATGATCATCTTATTACTGGCCATCTCCAGTTGTCCTGGACCCCGATTGCTCCAGAGGAGAGAGGTTTCTTTTTATAATAGATCATATAATAGATAATTGGTAAGGGAACTTCTTTTTTTTGGTGACATTTGAAAACAAGTGTCTTCTGTGGTTGTGCAAAGATTAAAGATCATCAAAACTTTTTCTTCTATAAGAATTCCTTTTGTGATTTTGTTTTTCAAATGGGTATGCTATCATCATTGCTAGATAATTTTTTTTCTGTAATAACATTTCTTCAAGGTTTTTGGTTTTTTGGAGGGTTTTTTTTGCTGATCATGCAGATATAGTTGTAATTCAACAAACCTTTATTATGTGCAGTATTTTACTTTCTTTTGATCTATTGTTAATATAATAACTTTAGTTGTAATTCAACAAACCTTTATTATGTGCAGTATTTTACTTTCTTTTGATATATTGTTAATATAATAACTTTATACTTCTCTACTGTCATCTGTTTTTTTTCCCCTATTGAATCTGTTTTTTTAAAAACCAGTTAGCAGGGCAGCTAGGTGGCACAGTGGATAAAGCACCGGCGCTAGGTTCAGGAGGACCTGAGTTCAAATCTGGCCTCAGACACATAACACTTCTAGCTGTGTGACCCTGGGCAAGTCATTTAACCCCATTGCCTAGCCAAAAAAAAAACCAACTGAAAACCAGTTAGCAGCTTATGATCATAGATGAAACTAGGAAGTTTATAGTTTGTATTTCTGTGACATTTCTAGTTTAGTTTTTCACTTAAGAAATTGCAAATGTGGGGCAGCTAGGTAGCGCAGTGGATAGAGCACTGGCCCTGAAGTCAGGAGTACCTGAGTTCAAATCCGCCCTCAGACAAAACACTTGACACTTACTAGCTGTGTGACCCTGGGCAAGTCACTTAACCCCAATTGCCTTAAAAAAAAGAAGAAAGAAAGAAAGAAATTGCAAATGCATGGTCTACTCTAATTCTTCCAAAGTGACTTTGATTCTGATTCTCTTGACAATTAAATTCTGCCAAATCATTCCCTGTAGGCAAATCAAACTCTTTTTATAAAATGAAAGTGTTTTTTCTCAAAAGTAGCTTACTTGTTTTTTTTCTTTGTTTTAGAGGCAAATCCTTTTCTTAAGGTCATAAAGCCACTTTTCTCCAAATTGAAGAGAAAAGTTCAGGACTATCCACCAGGGTTCCCAGGACTGATGAGGTTGACTTATTAGTCTGATTAAAAAAAAAAAACAAAAAAAGACCTTCTCTACAGGTTAACTTTCTAGACATGTCCTCACACCTTCTCTCCTTTAGAGTCACTAGAGAATAACATTTTTAAATTGACTTCAGTTCAGTCAGGGTTTTGAGCAGCTTTTTACTGAACAAGTATTGACATAGATTCACAGGAAATACATTTCCTTTGCTTTCGGCTATTCATTCACACAACAACCATTGAGTGCATTCTTAAGTTAGATCAAAGGATCCTTCTTTTTTGAAAAGGCAATTCATTTTGCCAAAAATTTGAACATTTCATTTCTCTAGTGCAGGGGTTTTTAACCTTTTTTATGTCATGGATTCCTTTGGCAGTATGGTGAAACCCATGGACTCCTCAGAATATTGTTTTAAATGCATAAAATAATATGTAGTATTACAAAGGTAATCAATTATACTGAAATAAAATTATCTAAAATTTAAAACACACACACACACACACACACACACACACACACACGTTCACAGTGTTCCTTGTGACCTTGTTCTTAAACACTACCAAATAGGAGGGTAACCTGAACAAGAATCAAGCACTTCTTGATGGTCAGGAGGATCTCTTGAAAGGCTGTCGGATACTTTTGGGGAGGGTCTTATGACCTTGCTACCATATACCTCTCTTTATATCGGAAGTTCCATTAACCTTGAGGTAAGTCACTCCAAGTAGGCCTTTACATCCCTGAACAAAATACAAGTTCATATATATTAAACACGCCTAAAATAAGCAGTGAATAAAACCAGATTCTAGCAACTAAATAGTGGTTCTTGGACAGACAGTAATGAAGTTCATGGAATTCTCAGAGGAATTGGGAACAATTAAGCTCTTGCCAATATACTGAGCCACTAGTTCCAGGTGTGATATGCTATCCAGTGCTAAGAAGAAGGTAAGAAATACATTCCTATTAAAAAAAAAAAGAAAATGGGCCACTTTCCCTTGCTTTCAGAGCATACTACGTCTTCTCCTTTTCAGATCATCTGTGGTCCAGTGAGACTGAAAGTGGGCTAGTCCCAGAGTGAATTAAGTGACTTTTAGCTGTTAAAGAAAAGGTTTATGCTGACGTAGTTTTTATGTTTGCAATGTACAAGTTGGCTATAAAAAGAGACATGCACACATACTTCTTAGCATGTTTAATTTTATTGTTGTTCAGTCATTTCAGTTATGTCCAACTCTTCATGACCCCATTTAGGGTTTTCTTGGCAAAGATACTAGAGTGATTAGCCATTTCCTTCTCCAGCTCATTTTATAGATGAGGAAACTGAAATAAAAGGTTAAGTGGCTTGCCCCGGATCACACAGCTACTAAGTGTCTGAGGCCAGATTTGAACTCACAAAGTCATCTTGACTCCAGCCCCCACACTCCATCCACTGCACCTCCTAGCTTCCCAGTGTGTTTAAATATGCTTGACCTTTCCCCTAAATGGTCCCATTCTGTAGTCCTAAATGATGAGTCAATAAGAATGGAAAGCTATGATCAAAAAAACCTCTTATAAATTTCAAAAGGTCTTTTACCTCAACTAATGGGAAATACAGTAATTCAGAGATGAGTGGTACTGTGCCTTCCTGGCATCTGTTTAAATGTTGAAATCCTAGGTATGTCACCATTTAGTTGTGGAAGGAAAACTTACTAATAACTGTATTTTGCATTGTAGGCACAAATCTCCCAAATAAATTCTCATTAAATTATCCTTAATCTAAATTCAAGCATGGTTTTACTTGAGAGATATGACCAAAGTCATGAGTGGACTCTGTCAGTTTGGACATTTCTCTCTCAAGGCAAGCAATTTTTGAAATTAGGATAATAGTAAATCAATAAAAATTGTTTCTGGCAGGCTTGTGTCATCAGTACAAGAACAGCTAGGTGGCACAGTGGACTCAGCACCAGCTCTGGAGTCAGGAGGACCCGAGTTCAAATCCAGTCTCTGACGCTTGACACTTTCTAGCTGTGTGACCTTGGGCAAGTCACGTAACCTAGATTGCCTTGTCCCCCACCACCAAAAGCAACGCAGAGCACAGTATTTACAGTCACTTTTCTATACAAGACACTCTGCCGGGTGGCACAGGAAAGGTAAAGATATGGTTCTTTCTGTCAAGCTTATGACCCAATACAGAAGGTCAGAGACAGATAAAGGTACTACAGTGTAAAAGATGGACAAAAACCATAAGAAAAGAACAAATCAAGTGCCATGGGAATACAGAGGAAAGAGAAATCACTGCTTTCTGGCTAGATCAATTTGTGAAGAAAATTGTAGTTGTGCTGTATATTGAAATATGGATGAAATTTCAACAAATGACAGGTACAGTGAGGAAGGGATAGAACAATGGTCATTCTAAACAAAAGGAGCAACTTTAGCAAAAGGAGGGAAGTGGGATCATTCAGGATATGTCTACAAAACCTCTGATGGTCCAATCTAACTAGGTAGAAAGGAGCAGTATGTTGGGAGTAGAAGGTTCAGTAGGTTCCTTAGGGACTAGATAATTGAGGGCCTTAAACACCCTTTTATGGGATTTAGGTTTTATTCTATAGGCATTGTAGGGTCATTGATGACCAGAGGTATAAATTTGGGAGGTGATATTTGAAGTCATGTGAGTTTATTTGCAAGGTGGGAATGGTTTAGAGAAAGAAGAAAAAGCACTAATCTACATCTTTAAGGAAGGTAAGAGAGCAAAGATGACCCATTAAATACAGAAAAGAAGACAGAGAGATAGAAGAATGAATGGAGTACAGTATCATAGAAGATAAACTTTCAAGGAAGAACTGGTCATCTGGAAGTGACATAATTTGAGAGCACTGATGGATCAATTCCTAAGTTATCTGAAAGAGAAGATAACTGATTGGGGAAAAAATCAGACAATATCACTATTTAAAAAAAGGGGGGCTATCAGAAAGATAATAGTAACTACCAGCAAATTGATTAAGAATTTGTTTGCACTAATTTGCACCTTTTTATTGATTCAGTACAGCTATCCAGGGATGGGGTCAAAACCCTGACCCTTATCATAAAAAAAATTTTTTTGATTCAGTAAAACAACTTTAATCTTTAAGGTGTCTCCCATACACATTAAGAACATGCAAGAGTTCCTGCTAGATATAACAACAGAACTTTTAAATATAATCCTTTGATCTTTGGTCTAAGAGAGACAGTCAAATGACCATCCTTATTAAAATGCTGGTATTATTAATAAAATGATTAAATTACCCAGGAAAAAACAATCCTTTGATTTATCATTATCAACTAGGGCAAAAGACAGGGAAGCATAAGTTTAACAAAACTGTTTGGAGGATATATGTATGGAATGAGAAATGTTCCTGTTTGCAAATGGCATTCTATTAATTGTTACAAAGCCTGGAATACTATACAGCCGCTCCACTTTGACTCAGTAGTCTAAACAAGAAAACCTGTTGTCCATTTCCATATTAACTGTGAAATACAGTTAGGTAACAGACACTGCAGATAATCAGTGAGCTAGAGGTACATAATTGAACAGGAGAAGATAGACTGGATTACTTTGTAGAAATTAGGTAGCACTTTCAACAATACCAACTCCTTCTTGAAACAGAAACTTGTCTTTTGAAAAAAAAATACCAGTATTGTTTCAGCTAAGATTTATGAAACATCAGTCTCCAAAGAATCAAAATTTCAGGCGGCTGAGGAGAGACAAATGATAGGCTGAAATAGGCTGCAACCTAGTATGCAATAATAAATTTTGCAAAGTACTTGATATACATTATCTCATTTTATCCTCACCACAGTCCTTTGAAGTAGGTACTGCAGGAGATATTATCCCCATTCCATAAGAAACTGAGGTTTGAAATTTCTTGCACAACTCCTAAGCTAGATTTGAACCCAGGTCTTTCCTGAATCCAAGTATAGTACCTTTTCCACTAAAGCACTTGCTATCAGCAGATATGGTTCTTTTTTTTTTCCTTGTATGTGTACCTCCATCTTTGCCATGGGTGTAGTGTTGAGTTGTTGTTCAGACATTTTCAGTCATGTCTGATTCTTTGTGACCACATTTGGAGTGGGTTTTGTTTTTGTTTTATTTGTCAAAAATACTGGAGTGATTTGCCATTTCTTTCTCCAAGTCTCTAGTGTTAATGTCTCTTTGCCAAGACTTAGGGTCAAGAGAAAGGTAACCCTTCTCCCTTTCATGATCCTATCTTCCCAAGAATTATTAAAAATCATCCAATACAACCCTCATTGGATCTCCCAGAAAGGGGAAAAAATAAGGTCAATAGAAATTTGAAGCCTTTTACAGTCTCTTGAGAATTCACATAATTCATAGTGCTAGTGAAGACAAATTTTGAGCTTACTCTTCCATTTTTTGGCTCAGTTTTTTGTTATTTGCTTCCTCTCCTGTCCCTACTGTTTCCATCTCCTACCCCCTCCTCCACCTGAATACCCAGAGTTCCAGCTACTACTTGGTCCTGGAAATTGGCATGTCTAGTATCTCCTCTCCTTGATTCTATCAACCTTTCTGCTGTTCTGTCCCAGAAGCACATACATGTACTTCCATCTTTACTAACCTGCCCTCCTAAAAGAAGAAAGCATTTGGGACCATTATCCAAGAAATCATCTATTACTCTACTGCTATTTCTGAGACCATTTAATTCCCTCTTCTCTTCTGGGCTACGTGGTTCCTTGGAGGTTTGTAGTGATGCACTACCTAGTTCAAGCTTCTGTCTGTGTTCAGTTTTTTAGTTGTGTCCAATTCTTTATGACGCCATTTGGAGTTTTCTTGGCAAAGATACTGGAGTGGTTTGCTATTTCCTTCTCCAGCTCATTTTACAAATGAGGAAACTGAGGCAAAGAGGGTTAAGTGACTTGCCCAAGGTCATATAAGTGTTTGGGGACAGATTTGAATTTAGGAAGATGAGTCTTCCTGACTCCAGGCCCAGTGCTCTATCCAGTGTGCCACCTAGTTGCCTAAGCTCTGGTTCTTTCCATCTCTGGCTGTGTCTGCTCTTCCTTTTAAAGTTTGAGTCCAACAGCATGGCTCCATCTTGTCCTGACTTGTCATGACTCCATCAATCCTCCTGTGGTGTCAGTGGGTATTTTTCTACCTTGTATGGGAAGACATGTTCAGTACTAGAATAAAGGCTTACCTCTGATATTATATATGGACATGTTAAGTGTTCATGAATATTGATTGATTATATCCAGTTTTCATTAAACAAATGGTACTGTAAAATATTTTAAGGTAAACTCATGTGTATATAATGTTAAAAAAATATAACCAACCAATGCCCACCTTTTTCAAAGAGTGCTCAATACAGCAGAATTCTAGTGCAGCAAGTGAATTTAATTGGCCTGTTGAAGCCAATGACAATAGGATGCAATGTACCCTAGTCATTATGTTAATGTTAATTTGAAGACATTAAATTAAAGAACAAAATTTTACTTTAGCTGTAATTACAAAGTTCACTATCAAAGATGCTTTCAAATTGATCTCCATCAATCCGCTTAGCACATAGTAAGTGCTTAATAAATGCTTGGTAACTGACTGACATATTCTTTCAAGCAACAAATGTTTATGGAGTATTTAAGAAATTTATATGTAGATTTCTTTCTCCTTTCTATATACAAAGCTTTAGTTTGGACTAAACTTTTTGGTGAGGTGGCTTAAATGTTAGAATGACACTTGTCAAAAACCTCTTCTTAGAGTCTGTTTATTTTCTAGCTCTACAACTGAGCTCAAATGTAATACAGAATGTTAAATTTGTCACTGAGCATTTACAAAGGAGACTGACTTTGCCCTGACACAGAAACAACACAGACACCATAGACTTAGGTTCTCTGGCCTATCTTGTCTCCACCTAGAAATGAATCTGGTCAGCCAGGGTTTGGTAACTCCTGAGGTCTTAGGCACCATCAAGTCTGAGATGTCCAGACTGTGAATGACTGGGACTTTTTATTACCCCTAGACCAAGAAGCTGTGTCAGGGAAGCAGGAGGCCAAAGGAAGTTTTATTAGGAAAATGCTGGTCTTATCACAATAGCCACCTTACCTCCCTGATAGTGCCAGGTAGAAACTGCCTTTCAAGAAACGTATAGTTCCATTACTGGGTATATGTGGTGTTTAGGGAGGACTAGCACTTCAAGTGCAGGGCTTGCTGGGGCTTTATCAGGGTTGCTTATCCACTTTTAGGTATCTGCCTTTCACCCAACTCCCAGCTGTGGTTCCAAGAAGCTGGAGCATGCACAGCAGCCCCATTCCAGTAAAACCATCTCGGCATGCAGGCTAAAGTTAAAGTTAACCAGATTAAGAGTATCAATAGGCCTCAAACCTCTCAGTGAGTTAGGAGGATGTCTACACCAAGTATATGAAAACTTCCCTTGACAGAATGGGGAGATGAGAGCAGTTTGTTCCAACGGCCAGAAAAACAGCTGAAGCACTCACCGTGGGGTCCTTGCTTATGGCTTGGTCAGACATCAAAGACACCAAGATAACCCACTGCATCCCAGGCCTTGGCCAGTCATCTTGACTTTTGTCTTGCCACTGGACTTCAATGACTCTGGAAGAGTGAGTGAAGCTGATGACTTTGTGCAACTCTGTCTCAGTTAAATCCAAATCACTTGCAAGTCAAGACATCACCCTGTGATGTTATCGATCCTCTTGAAAAAAAGAACAAGATCCATTACTGAAGTAATAGGGTTTTGTGATAATTTTTCTTCTTATAAATAGTAAGAGAGAGGCAATAACTTTTACTTACTTGTAACTTAAGGACTTGTAATGTATTAATCTATCTGTTTAGGTTAGATGAACTTTCATTAGAAAATTAGGGTATTAGTCACATAAAAACCTAATCTTTCACATTATGTAACAAAATCAATCAGTTTTTCAACCAGCATTTGTTTTGGAGCAAATATTTAAATTCTTCTTAGCTGTTACTATTAGCTGTAGTGGAATTCTGCTTAAGAAATAGCAGTGGTCTGTGAATATGATTGCTATTCCTTTTTTTCCTTGTTTTTAAGGTGGTCTGTTGGAAATGTTCCGACTATAAGGCTCAACTTGAATATGATGGTGGTAAATGGAACAAAGTTTGTAAAGACTGCTATCAAATAATAATTGGATGCACAGACAGTGAAGAAAAGAAAAGGAAAGGAATCTTAGAGGTATGATGAAAAAATGAGAGTCTTATCCTTATGTACTATTTAAACGTTTTAATGACAAATAGTAATGGATCTGGATTCAAGAAGATGGTCTAAGTTCAAAGATGGCCTAAAACATTTACCAAGTCTATATAAGTTTCCTCAACTATAAAATGAGATTATAATATCTCCCAGGATTGTTATGAGGATCGAATGAGATAATATTTGTCAAGTTCTTAGCGCAATGCCTGGCGCAGAGTAAGTGCTTAATAAATGTTTGTTACCTTCTCTCCCTTCTCAGTCATACCTATTTACAAAAGTATATATGACATTACAAATATGGAGTAGTTTTTAAAATTTCCATATTAGCCATGTTGCAGAAAAAAACACATCTGTTCGTAAGAAAAATAAAGTTAAAAAAAGTATTCATCAGTTTGCACTCTGAATTCACCAGTTTTCTCTGGAGGTGGATAGCATTTTTCATCATGGATCCTTTGAAATTGTGTTAGATCATTGTCTTGATCAGAATAGCTAATTCTTTCACAGTTGATCATCCTTACAATATTGCTATCACTGTGTGCTCTTGGTTCTGATCACTTCACTTTGGGAAAAAGAAATAATTGTACACCCATTGGCTGTGCTCTATCGTATTATTAACCAATGATAATGAGAGGAAAGTAGCACTAAAGGCCACTGATGAGACCTCCCCTGTTCTCCAGTCACTCATGTAGTTATTTCAACAATTGGTCTCTGTGAGAAATACAATCCAATAAGGATTAGATTAAGGAAATTATGAGATTAGCTTGTGTTCCAAGTTCTGATGAGTAACTGAATTGTCTCAGGATCTCTCTAGGTTTATATCTTGCTTAATCCCTGTAAGCTGCCACATTTCAATTTACTGATCTCCTAAGAATTCAATTTTTCATCATATTGTGACTGTATTTTTCCAGCAGGCCTGTCCTCTATAAGTCCCTTTTGTTCTTGGGAATACTGGAAAAAGAAGACATTTTGTTAATTCATATAATAAAAAATTGTAAGAAAAGAAGAAAAAGGCTGTAGGGTTCATAGAAGTCTTCTCAGGTTTTTCCTGAAAACATCCTGTTTGTCATTTCTTGTAGCATAATAGTGTTCCATCACAATCATATATTACAACTTGTTCAGCCATTCCTCAGTTAGTGGTCATCCCCTCAATTTCCAGTTTTATGCCACCACAAAAAGAGCTACTATAAATATTTTTTATGCAAAAGGCCCTTTTGCCTTTTCTTGATCTCTTTGGGATGCAGACCTGGTAGTGCTATTATTAGGTAAAAGGGTATGCACAGTTTTATAGATGAGCATAGTTCCAAATTATTCTCCAGAATGATTAGACTAGTTCACAACTCCACCAACAGTGCATTGGTGTCTTAACTTTCCCACATCCCCCCAGCATGTCTCATTTTTCTTTTCTGTCATGTTAGCCAATCTGATTAGGTATGAGGTGGTATCTCAGAATTTTTTCTGAAGCATTTCTCAAATGCTTTATCAAAGCATTTCTCTAATCAGTAGTGATTTAGAGTATTTGTTTTCATGTGACATTGACCATTTACCAACTGAGGAGTGGCTCATATTTTTATATATTTCACTTAATTCTCTATCTATGAGAAATGGTGCCTTTATCAGAGATACTTGCTATAAAATTTTCCCTAGTTTCCTGTTTTCCTTCTAATTTTGGCTACATTAGTTTTGTTTATGCAAAAACTTTTTAACTTCATACAATCAAAATTATTCATTTTACTTCTTATGGTCCAGATATCACTTATTTGGTCATAAACTTCCATTATCCATAGATCTGATAGGTATGTTTTTTCCATGCTCCCCTAATTTATGATATCACCCCTTATGTTTAAATCATTTCTCCATTTTGACTTTATCTCAATATATGATATGAGATGTTGGTGTATGCCTAGTTCTGGCAAACTGCTTTCTAGTTTTTCTAGCAATTTTTGTCAAATGATGGGTTCTTACCCTGAAAGCTTAGATCTTTGGGTTTATCAAACACTAAGTTACTATGGTTATTTACTACTGTGTATTGTGTACCTAGTCTTCCATTGATTCACCCCTGTATTTTTTAGCCAGTACCAAATCGTAGATGACTACCCTTTTGTTATATAGTTTAAAACCTGATACTGCTGGGCTGCTTTCCTTCACATTTTTTTTTCATTGATTCCCTTGATATTCTTAACCTTTTGCTCTTCCAGATGAATTTTGTTAGTATATTTTCTGCTCCATAAAATAGTTTGGTAGTTTGATTGATATGACGCTGAATAAGTAAATGAATTCAGGTAGAATTATCATTTTTATTATACTGGCCTGGCCTACCCATGAGCAATTAATATTTCTTCCATTATTTAGATCTCTATTTGTGTGAAAAGTGTTTTGTAATTGTGTTCATATAGTCCCTGAGTTTTTCTTAGTAGGTAGATTTCCAACTATTTTATGTTGTCTGCACTTACTTTAAATGGAATTTCTCTTTTTTTCCTCTTGCTGCTGGGTTTTGTTGGTAGTGTATAGAAAGGTTGATGATTTTATGTAGATTTATTTTATATCCTACAATTTTTCTTAAGTTAATTGTTTCAACTGGTTTTTTTAGTTAATTCTTTAGGATTCTCTAAAGTATACCATCATATCATATTGCAAAGAGTGATAGTTTTGTTTCCTCTTTGCTAATTTTTTTCAAATTTTTTTTGTCTTATTGCTATAGCTAGCATTTCGAATACAATATTGAGTATTAGTGTTGATAATGGACATCCTTGCTACTCTGATCATATTGGGAAGTTTATCTTCACAACAGATGATACTTGCTCATGGTTTTAGATAGAGACTACTTATCATTTTAAGAAAGGCTCCATTTCTTTCTAGTTTTTTTTTAAATAGGAACGGATGTTGTGTTTTGTTTAAGCTTTTTCTGCATCTGTTGACATAATAATAAAAATATTTTGTTATTGATAGGACCAATTATGCTTCTAGTTTTCTTAATATTGAACCAGCCCCACATTCCTGGTATAAATCCCACCAGGTCATAATCTATGATCCTTGTGATATGTTGCTGATATGTATTGTGATATATTGCAAATATATTGTGTTATATTTGACTACAAATGTTATATGTAGAAAAGATGAAGTGTTTGAACTGTTAAAAATGCTTTCCATTTCCATTAATTCTATTTAGGAAATACAGCATGGTGTAGTAAATAGAGTGCTAGACCTGGAGTCAGGAAGACCTGGGTTCAAACTCTATCTGTGATACCCAGTTGTGTGACCATGAACAAGTCATTTAACTTCTCTGAGGCTCAGGTTACATGTTAAGCAACTTAACTACCAAATTATAGTTATGTCAGTGAAAAGAGTAACTTCCAGTCTAATCACAGATCCTTGCCTTATTGATGCATATTTGGATATTTAGCAGAATTGTGTTTATTTGGGGATAGATATGGAGAAGTTTTTAAATAATTTCATTAATTCATTAGCAAATTTATTTTGTTAATTATTAATTTTCTTAAGATTTTGATTTATATTTTTATAAGTTGTTTATCCGGCTTAGTGTCTATATCTGTACTTAAAGGATAATATGTTTCTATCTCCTTTTGTTGTCTTTGCTACATATTCACAGATTGAATCAGCAGAGGTTTCTGGAAACAGTATCATATGCAGCTTTCTTCAGTATATGGAAAAGTCAAAGCCCTGGCAAAAAGCTTGGTGTGTCATCCCTAAGCAAGAAGCTCTTGTACTCTACATGTATGGTGCCCCACAGGTACATCATAATAATTGCCTTCTGTTGAGCATACTGGTCAGGGATGAATTGAGGGACAAGGAAGGTAATTCTAGAATCCCTTAGTCCCTTCTCTATAAAATGGAGAATTCAAAAGTTTAGGCTTTAGCTCACTAAAATTACAGATATCCATTATCTATACCCAAAGTTTCAAGTTTTCTTATTCTAAAATGCTTGGTTCTTTTTTATTTACCTTACAGATTTTTCCCTCCTCTATATGAATAAGGTTTCCTGGTTTTTTTATCTTTTTTTTCCTGTTTAATGAGTTTGACAAAGATTGAGTTGAATTTGGGATTAGAGTAGGACAGTAAAAGAAATTTAGCAAAAGGCACATTAAGGAGAATAATTATGGTCCCTTTACATATAAAAATAAATGTACCTAGATGTAAATAAATATACTTTAGATGTAAAAATAAATGTTCACCAAAGTGAACATGTGAAATTTTGAGGAAAAGGACATTTAAATAAATCTAGCTTAATATCATTGAATAACAATCATTGAGAAGAAGACACAGGTGTGTTTTAACTTACTGTGGAAAATCACAACCCCTTGACTTCCAAGTGCTAAATTTCTAGATGTGAGATATCCACACATGCATTAATTCCAACAAAAATAGAAATGTATTTTTTAAACAAACTGGGGGGGGGGAGAAGGTATCCCCTTGCATTTAAAAATATACATGTAAATGTATCTGTAATATTGGCTATTAAAATGTTCTAATGAGGTAACACCAACCAAAATGCTAGAATAGCAAGAAGTAGTACAACCCAGCTTTCCCCACAACTACTAGAACTAAGATAACAGAGTGGTGATTGAGAGATCTGAGGAGAAACCATAGTAAGATACCTTTCTAGCCCAAGATCACAAGTTTGACCCACTAACAAGTGACCAGAATGGGAACTGTGAAACGAGGGTGGGCCAAAATCAATGTCTCAATTCCCAGGGCACCAAACAGGTAGTGGGGCAGTGTCTGTCAGAACAAATTGCCTACTCAGCCCCATACCTAGGCCAGTAAGTAATAAGGATCCCCAAAAGAGGCCAAATTGAGGATTCAAGTCCCAAGGCTCTAAACAGGAGCCAGCAGTGCAGCAAAGGGCAACCTAAAGTGAGTTGTTGACTTTACCCTTCACCCAGGCCAGCCAGAAAGGGCCTCCCAGAGGGGCCCAATCCAAGACTCAGCAGACTGAAGTCTTCCAGAGCAGATCACAAATTCTTCCCAGGATCCAGAGCAGGGATAGGCCAGCAATCCAGTCTGTCTCAGCATGCTGAATCTGAGAGAGGCTGAGGCAACTACTATTTATTAGAGCACTGCCCAAGGAGAAATCTTCAGCTGCCTTGCCTAGACGTGAACCAGAGTCTGCATCCCAAGAAGCCCAGGAGAGAAGCAATCATACCATGCTCTTGATCTGACCACATAGGACTCACTGAAAGGCTGCAGCTTCCCACCTCCAACAGTTTCGTTATCTTCAAGAACACTGCACTCAGTATCTAAAGAACATAGTGAAAGGACCCCAGATAAGAGAAGCCAGTTTCATTCAAGGCCATGACAGTCCTGCCCAGAAGTTCATTGAGTCTGCTTCTAATACATAGTCCTACTATAAGAAGTAAAGAAACTGGAAGAATGAGTAAACAACAACAAAAGATAAAGAATTGACTTCTAACAGAATATATCCAAAACACCTACAAGTAACACCTCTAATAACACAGCCTGATCTCATGCAAGAGTGGGTTTTTTTAAGTTTAAAAATTATATTATGAATGAAGTTAGTGTGATAGAGGAAGGAACTGAGGGAAAAGATAGCTTTGGAAGGAAGATTAAAAAGGGATTTAATAGCTTAGCACAAGAGGCACAAAACCTTATCAAAGTAACAGATTCATTGAAAGTAGAACAAACAAAACAGAAGTTAATGACTCCATGAGATAAGAAGAAATGCTAAAACAAAGTCAAAAGACTGAAAAAAATACAAGAAAATAGAAAATGTCTCATGTTTTTTAAAAAACTGACCTACAAAACAGATAAGTTAGAGATAATGTAAGAATCATTGAATGGGGGCAGCTAGGTGGAGCAGTGGATAGAGCACCACCCCTGGATTCAGGAAGACCTGAGTTCGAATCCAGCCTCAGACACATAATACTTACTGACTGTGTGACCCTGGGCAAGTTACTTAACCCCCATTGCCCAACAACAACAAAAAAACCAAGAATCATTGAATGAATAGCATGTGTACCTGTCAACTGGGGAACAGCTAAACAAAGTACGTGAATATAATGGAATATTACCATGCCATAAAAAAAAATTAATATTATGAATATAGAGAATTATGGAAAAATTTACATGATTGATGCTGAACTGAGTAAGCAGAACCAAGAAAACTACATACACACATATGTGGTTTTCTTGGCTCTGATTACTCAATATGTATGTGTGTTGTGTGTGCATATGTACATATACATGCAGTGGCTACAACCACATAAATTGGAAAGAAAAACTATAAGATGAACAAAATTAAATTTTGCAAAAATTATAAAAAACAATCATGACTTTAAAGAAGTGATATGAGAAGACATCCCCACCTCTCTTTGCAGAGATGAAAGGTCCATAGGTGTGATATAGACTTTTTCAACATATCTATCAGTTTTGGGTTTTTTTTCTTTTAAAAAATTAGTTATATTGGATACCTCTCTGAGGAAAGATACTGGGGAAAATTCTAGTGATGTAAAAAACAAAATTTATCAATAAATATTTATTTTAAAAATAGGGGGGAAATTATCACAGTACCTGAAAGCCATAAGAGCGTAGATATCACATTTCAAGAAATTATGAAAGAAAGATGCTAACATATCTTGGAATGAGAAGGGATAGTGAAAGAATTCATCATTTTCCTCTGGAAAGAAATCCCTAATAGGAATGTTATAAGCAAGATACAAAGGTTCCAAGTCCAAGAAAAATACAGCAAACTGCCAAAAACAAAGACTTTGAGTACCTAAGGAACCACATTCAGGATCATACAAGATTTAGCAGCTACCACTTTCAAGATATAGAGAGTTTGGATTATGATATTCCATAAGGCAAAAGACTTATTAGGTTTACAACTAAGAATATCTTACACAGCAAAAATGATTATAAACAATCATATGGGGGAAAATGGACCTTTAATGAAATGAAGGACTGTTAAGCATTCCTGATGAAAAATTAGAGTAGAAACTTTGAAATATAAATATGGGAATAAAGAAAAATGTAGAAAGCTAAATATAACCAAGCAATCTAAAGTGACTTTATAAAGTGTTTGGAAGTGATGAAACACGTGTACCCTCAGATGCTTAACATCATGAGGGGACATAGAGGGAGTCAGAGAAGGCAGAGGTCTTGAAGCTGCTTTGTAATGTTTTCATGATTGTTCAAAAAAAATTTTTAAAGGAAAGGAAGAGGCAAGGGAAAATAATATATTAGAAGATAAAAAGGAAGGAGTAGGTGGGGAAGAGACTTATTGTCTTGTATAATTGGATTCTGCCGGTAGAAGTCTATACAAAGGCATGCAAGAAACCTTGTTTGTCATTAAAACCTCACTTTCATCTGAAGTGGTTAAAGAAGATAAAACATACAAAGTTTGGTGTGTGTATATACATATACATACACACACACACACACACACATATAAAAACTCAACAGGGAAAAAGGGAAGAAAAGAAAGGGGGGAAAGGGACAAATGAGAAGGGTAGGTTTACAGAGGGAGCTTGAAATGGAAAAAAAAAAGTAAGAACCTGAAATTGGTGTCTGCATGAGTGGAGAAAAGGGGCAGGGGGACATAAGTTGGTTGGTTTAAATCCACTGATGTGGACCATGTTCCTGTTCCATGAAATTCTTCTTCTTTGTAAAGAAGGAGCAGAAAGCAAAGGTGGGGGGGGAAGTATAAGAAAATAACAGTCAAATGCAAAATTAATGATCATAACTGATCTTGGAAATAGGATGAACTTGCCCATAAAATGGAAGAGGATGGTAAAATGGTTTAGAAATTAGAATCCAACAATATGATGTTTATAAGAAATACAATTGAAATATAAAGACTGATAAGAGACTGAAGCAAAATCTACCATGCTTCAGCTGAACTCAAAAAAGTAAGAATAGCGATCAACAAAAATAGATTTATCTAAGAGATAAACAGGTGAATTACTGAAAAGTACCATAGATAATTTTTTTTTTGCTGTAGGTACCATAGACAATTAATTTTGGTACTTAGCATGTGTATCCCTAATGACATAGCATCTAAATATTTAGAGGAGAAGCTTGGTGAATTACAGAGAGAAATAGACAGTAAAACTATAATAGTGCAGGGGTGTAGGGGAGGCCAGCTATGGTGTTTGTCCTTTAGTCAAATCTATCCTCAACAACAATAAAAACAAGAAAGAAGGTAAAGACCTGAATAGAATTTGAGAAATATGATAGATCTTGGGCAATTGTGTGTATATATGCATGTGTGTATGTATGTATATACATAGAGCATCTATAGCTATATGTATGCCTATACATAAACATATGGATGTATGTATGTGTTTTAATGGCATTTTCACAAGAATTGACAAAATATTAGAGCATAAAAAAACCCCCAAAACACATGCAGAAACAGAAGTATTAAACACATCCCTTATTGACCATAAAACAATAACAATTATAGTCAATAAAATGCCACTGAAGAAAGTTTAAAAGTTAAATGGAGACTCAGTCAATCAGTAAACATTAAATACTTACTATATATGCCAGACACTGTTTTAAGTGCTAGAGATACAAAAAGAGGCAAAAGATAATCCCTGCTCTCAAGGAGGTCATATTCTAATGGAGAAAACAAGCAATTAAATATATGCAAAGAAGCTATATTCAATATAGAGAGAGAATAATTAACAGAGGGAAGGTACTAAAATTAAAAGGCATTGGGAAATGCATCCTATAGATGGGATTTTACTTAGGACTTAAAGGAATCCAGGAGACAGAGATCAGAAGGGAAAGCATTCCAGGCATGGGGAAAGCCAGAGAAAATACCCAGACCTGAGAGATGGATTGGCTTGTTCATGGAACAATAAGAAGGACAGTATCAGTGACAGAGTATATGGTGGAGTATAATATATGAGAAGACTGGAAAGGTAGGAAGGGAATAGACTATGAAGGACTTTGAGTGCCAAACAGAGGATTTTGTAATTGGTCCTGGGGATAATAGGGAGCCACTGGAGTTTATTGAGTGAGGGGGTGCCTTAGTTGGATTGTCAGGAAAATCACTTTGGCAGATAAATGGCAATGAAAAGAAATTTAAGGCAGGCAGACCTACCAGCAGGCTGTTGGAATAGTTCAACTGAGAGCCTACACCAGAGTGGTGGCAGTATCAGGAAAGAAGGAAGTGTATTCGATAAATATTGCAAAGGTAAAGTTGATAGTTCTTGGCTACAGATTGGATGTGGGAGTGGGGTGGGTGAAAAACAGTGAGGAGTTAAGGATGACACCTAGGTTGTAAGCCTGAGGTTTTGGGAGCACAGTGTTTCCCTCTACAGTAGTAGAGAAGGTAGGAGTGGAGGAAAGTTTTAGAAGGAAAGATAATGAATTCTGTTTGGGGCATGTTGAGTTTAAAATGTTTAAGATGTCTACTGGACATCCATCCATGAAAGTGGTGGATAGTGGGAGTGATCCATGACTGAAGCTTGGTGCAAGGCTTAATTGGATACATGGAGGGAGGTGGGGGCAGGGCTGGGAAGGGACACAAAAGTAGGATAGTATAGAATTCAATTGGTTCATTAAGGGATATCAAGATGGAGAAAGGAATATTAAATGACTAGTGTAAGAGAGATGGCTTAGGGGACAAGGGATTGGAGTTTATGATGTGGGCAATGAGAAGGATTTGTTATGGGAATGGTAAGCCAATAGATCCTGGTCAGATAAAGAGATTCCTTGAACATGGATTGGTGCATTTACGGGTGATGGCAAGATCGAGGGAATCACCATCTTTGTGAGTGGCTGAAGTGGGGTAGAGGAGTAGGTATGGAAAGTGACCTGAGTGGTTAGGGTATTTGAGGGAGGGTCATTATGCATGTTGAAGTCCTTTAGTATGAGGGCAGGATTTGGGGAAGAGAGAAAAATTGGAAAGTCATTGAGGAAGGAAGGGAATTGAACTGGAAGTCTGTAGACAGCAGTTACCAAAATTTGATTGAGTGGAAGATGGCTCTCAAAGAAGGAGAGAGATGTTTGAGGTGAGGAGAAAACTTGGAAGTGACAATAGAGAGCAAAGATTGTTCCACCTCCCCTTTCTTGACCAGTGAGCCAAGGGGAATGAGTGACAGTTCAGCCAGTACTAGAAAGGGTAGCCAGGAAAGCTGTGCCATCTGAGGGGAGACACAGGTTTCAGTGATTGTTAGAAGATAAGAGGAGTGGGAGAGAGAAGTAGGACAAAAGGATGTTTAATTTAATTATAAAGATTTGGTTGGTCAGAAAACAAAGCATGGAAACAATAGATGATATCATTAAAGATAACTGACAACATAAAAATTTGGAGATGCACACAAAGCAGTCCTTAGAGGAAATTTTATGTCTCTTAACTCTTTCATAAACAAAAAAGAAAAGAAGAGAAAAAGAAATCAGATCAATGAATTGGGAATGCAACTAAAAAATCTAGAAAACCAACAAATTTTGAAATCTCAATTAAACAACAAAATGGAAATCCCAAACAATATGGAAGACATTCATATGAATAAAAGGTTTTGAGTTTATAAATTAAGAAATTGAATTAATAAATCTATGAGCTATTTAAAAACAATAAATAGATAAAATGTTAGCTAATTTAAGTATAAAAGGAGGAAAATCAAATTGCCAAAATAAAAAAAAATTACAACAAGGAAATAAATTATATTATTAGCAACTACTTTGTTCAGCTAAATCCTAACAAAACTGACAACTTAATTGAAATGGATGAATATTTACAAAAATATAAGATATCCAGATTAACATGGAATAGAATTAACATTAAATAGATAATTTAAATAACCCAGTCTTAGAAAAAGAAAGTGAACAAACCATAAATCAACTTCCAAAGAACAAAAATTCCAAGATCGTATGCATTTTCAAGTGAATTCTATCAAACATTCAAAAAAACGATTCTAATATTATATAAACTGTTAGGAAAAATAGGAGAAGCAGTCTTAATAAATTCCTTTTTATGATACATATGAAAATAAAGAAGGAAGCTCTGTCCTGGGCCCCTCTTCTTTTATGTTCTCTATTAACTTGTTTGATGATTTTGATTACTTCCCATGTATTCAACTACCATTTCTATGTAGATAATTCTCAGATCTAAGTATCTAACCCTAAACTTTGCCTGAGCGCCATCCCCATATCAATAACTGATTTTGGATATCTCAAAATCAACATCCCATAAGCATCTTTAAGTAAACATGACTGTAACAGAATTGATCTTTCCCCCAGTACTGTTGGACTCTGTCATCCAGGCTTTGGATCTTTGGAATCATCTTTGACTCCTTTAATGTACTGCAAATATCCAATCTATTGTCAAATTTTGTCATTTTTACCTTCACAATATATCTTGCATAGGCTCCCTTCTCTCCAGTTTGTCACCTCCCTAATATATTATCACCTGATACTTAGACTACTATAATAGCCTAATTGTACTCCCTGCTTCAAGTTATCTAACCATCTAATCCAGACAAAAATTTACTTTGTTTCCCTCCTATTCCTAGCATTAAAAAAAAAAGAAGAAACAGTAACAAATATGCATAGACAAGCAAAACAGACTCCCATATTGGCCATGTCCAAAAATATATGCCTTATTTTGTGTCCTGGGTCTATCACTATTTTGTCAGGAGATACTGCCTCATCGTTTGTCCTGTGGAATCATGGTTGGTCATTGTATTGATCAGCATTCTTATGGTTTGTTTTTTACAGTGTTATCATTATTGTGAAAACTGTTCCCTTAGTTCTTTTCACCTAAATTTACATCTGTCCGTACAAATCTTCCCAGATTTGTCAAATCATTGCATTTAAAATTGTTATGGCATAGTAGTATTTCATTACATTCATATACCATACTTGTTCAGCCATTCCCTGTTAGTTTTACTTCTCTGGTACTACAAAAAGAGCTGCTATAAGTATTTTTTAATGCATATTGGGTCCTTTTCCTGATCTTTTTGAGTCATAGACTTAATAGTGGTTCTGCAGGAATGAGTATATAGTTTATAAGTTTTTTAAAACACGGTTTCAAATTTCTTCTGAGAATGGCTGGACCAAATCTTAGCTCTAACAACAGTGTTATAGAGTATTTGAGGGACTGTCCCTATGTATGTATGGTTGAAGTCCCCTAGTATGAGAACAGCAGAGAAAGACTGTGAACCAGGCACTGAATTCAGTGAGGAAGGAAACAGAGTGTCCTGGAGGTCTGTAGAAAGCAGCCACCAGAATTTTGATTGGGTGATAGATATGGATTGAATGATCCTCAGAGGAGGTAAGAGATGGTGGCGAAGGGTACACCCAAAAGTGTCAACAATTATATGATCATATACATATACATATTACATATCATGCATTTCATAAAACAAATTTATTGAGGGAGTAGGATTTGGCTCTTGTTTCTTTTTGCTCTTTTTCTATGTCATATTCTTTTCTAAATCATAATGGCATTTCGTTCTTAGGATGTCAGAGCTCAGGCAACCATTCCACTCCTGGGCTACACAGTGGATGATACACCAAGGAGTGCTGATCTCCCTCACAGTTTCAAACTGACTCAGTCTAAGTCTGTGCACAGCTTTTCTGCAGACAGTGAGGAACTGAAACAGAAATGGTTGAAAATCATCCACTTAGCTGTCAAAGGTGAGACACCAGAGTGTCCAAATGAACTACAAATCACAGTAGATGATAATCCTGGACTAAAAAGAAAGCCAGAATGCTGAGTTAAAGATGTCCTGTTGTTGGGGGTGTGGGAGGAGGGTGGGACACAGCTGTGCAATGAAGCAAGTGAAGAAAAAAACCCAGAAAATAAGACATTCCCAACAACCCTACACCTTTTAGCACTTTATGTTAAAAATATAGGTTCATAAGCAAATTTAGGGGTGGGAGAGAAGGGGTGCAGTAAGAACAGACTGTTTTCCTAAACTTATGTATCATTAATGAATTTGCTGTACAGAGTCATTTCACTGATAATTTTTTTTAATGTGAACAGTGAAACATCTTTAGGATTCTGCCTTGAGTATTTACCACTTGTGTTTGTCTTAAAGAAAATGGCATTTGATCCTCTTGCTGTTAGGTTAAAATGTGCCACAGACTTTTTGTTATATTCTTTGCTCATGTAGGACTTCTGACAATTTGAAAGATATACCTCCATATTGCCAAAATAGATATGTAGTGATAAATACAGGGAAAGTTTAGTTTAAAGCATTCATTTTATTGAAGTTAGTATCTAAAGCTATTTACACACGTTGTGTATGTTATAATGTATTTTCTTATAGAAAAAATCAAAAAGACAAATTACATTGACTTTTAGACTTTCAATTTAATAAGAATAAAAAGCTAATTGTTTTTCTTTTAAAAAATATATTATTCACATAAGGAAAAAACAGAAGTATAAGGATTTATGTATGTACAATATCAAATAGACTACTTTGACTTCATGATTTTAGGATCATATTTGTCTATTATCTATATTTTAAAAAAGCAAAGCATGTTTTATCTTGGAATTAAGCAAAGTATTCTAAAGAATGTTTTGACAATTTATGTTCAATTAGTTGATACCTAATGGTCTTGATATTTTTGTAAGTTTAACAAATGTAGCAGTTTTTATGGCATGTAACAAATTAGTGAATTCCAACTCTATTTTAAGACCATTAATTTTTCTTTTATTTTCTGAGCCTATTTAAACAGTGCCTCTATTTGAAGGTGCTAATATTACATATTTAAATATAGGGTGTATATTCAATTAGTAATGTTTTTGTCTTCATTATTTTGAGATAAGATAAATTACCATTTTGATCACTGGGACACTCAGAGCATTTAGAACATTTCATTTTTATAATCATATGAATGTTGAAGTAAGTATTATAACATCAATTATTTGTAAGGATTCTCTTTCCTTTCACTGAAAACATTTCCTTTCATCTGAAAACATTGTGTCTGTGTGAAACCTGAGTTAGTACTTGGGAATGATGTTTGGTACATTTTCTTTGTAGAAAAATTTTTTCAATAAATTTTTTCACTTATTTTCTATAGGCACATTTAAATGTAGAATATATAATGCACACATGATATATTCATGTATCAGTCCATTCATCTCATCTCAGCTACTATTTATTTAGTAAGTGCTGTTATTTATAAATCACTATATGGGCGTTAACACAATTTCACTTGAATTTCCTAGCATTGTTAAATAAGTTTTAGACAACTAATACAATTTCGATTGTTAGGGAAAGTATAATGTTTAAAAATATTAAAACCTATGTTAAAATAATGTCAATGAAAACTTTTATTGTCAAAAATCTATAAAGCTCATTTCTTTCTGAGATCAATATCCCAAGAAAGAAAGAGAAAACTTCACTTTTGAAAAATTTTTATTTTAGTTTACAGATTTGGGGAAGGTTAGAAAGGGATATGACACAATCTTTGGGTGGCATTTTTTTTACTGGGGAGACACTGCTCTTTTGTTTGTCTTCCTCCAGAGACAAAACAAAAAATCCAACTCAATATAGTTGTTGTGATTAAAATGTCATTATCTTTTCAAGTTGAGCCATTTCTCAAGTTATATTTATTTCTTTGATTGTCTATTTATTCCTAATATATGACTGCTAAAAGACATATAGGCCTGCCTGGATTGAATATAACCATGGAGGATTACAAATGAAGAGAATGACAAAACCTTTACTCAAAGTTTTTAGACCATTACACCTGGAATTCAGGCCCATTTTAATAGGACATTTAATCTATCCTATTTATTCCTCCGAAAAGGAGCAGGCAAATATTATGATTTGGAAACAAATGTATCAGGGTTTTTTTTTCCTCCTTTCTACATGGAATGCATATCAGCCATGAAAATAAAATACTCAGAGCCAGAAAGCATCACAATAAGCCCTCAAACCCCGTAGTAATCAGAGACAAACTGAAGAGAAATTTCATGTTGCCTTTCTGTTGTGGTCCCTTTTTAAATTTGGGGGGGGCAGGAATGTGCTTGATATGAACAGTAAGCAATATTTAGTACTGACAAATATTTGCCTAAAAATGAAGGAAACAATATAAAAAATGAAAATGGTTCTAAGGGGAGGGAAGATGGTATGTATGTTACACATACTTGAAGATTCAGTGGTCCAAATATGACTATGGACCTGATAGATTTTGAAAAGGATTTAAAAGGCATCTCTTATAATATTGTTTTTTTCAAAGACAAAGCAAAAAGCCCAGCTCTCTCACTTTTTTACTCAATACATTGGTAGTAGCAAAAATAAAACATCTTTTTGAAAAATAGATGTTATTTACATAATATGCTACAGATAAAAAAGTATGATGCTTTTTTCATTTTTTATAAATCAGAAGTGATCCTAGGAAAGACTTTGTGTGATAAGAATTACTTCCTTCTCTGTCCTCTATGTTTTCAAAGGAAAGCACCATTATCTGTTTCTTTCTTCTTTTAGGAAAGAATATATTAACTATCTTATTTAATCAGTGAAACTGAGCTCTTTTAGATTGCTTTATATATAGTGAAGGCCCTACAAAAGTGTTTCATTTTAAGAACTATTGTTGACTTCTGGTGTTTATATAAACTAACAGTGATCAATGGCTATCCTTTTAGAACTACTATCCTGTCTCAGGCTTAATCAAATCCTTTCTCTTCCTAAATCATCTCTTTCTTTTAAGTCCTCATCCCAGAAACCAACTGAGTTCATGAAATTTACTCTTCACAGCAGTAAAACATTCCAGTTTTTTTTTCCTACTTTGGGTTTTCTTCTTGAGATTTACTTGAAGTTTGAAACATTGTATATAGTGCACATTTTTTTATCCAGCGTTTTAACAAAGCTTACTCATGGACATGCCAGCAGTCACTTTCATGGTACTACAATGAGAATAACACAGGTATGCAAGTAATATCATTCTTCAGGGTAGGCATTTACAGTGAAGATTTGAATATGAAGGTATCTGCCCAAAAAGGGAGTATCTGCTTTCTCTCTTGAGCTTAGAATTAATGCTGCACTTCAAATTGCTGTTTTTATACTCCATTAATGAAATAAATTATTTAAACAATTTTTAAAGGATATGGGCAAGTAAATTATTTAAAATATATCATACTGCTATTTCTAATCATATTTCTTAATTTGAAAGTTAGAGTGAGAAAAAGATGTAAACTTCTTACAGAAGCAAAGTATTAAAACAAATCTTATCTGCCCCTAAATAGATTAGTTCAAAGGTACATATAAGGTGATAAAGAATGCTTGTTTTATGTACATGTTTTAAAGAAACTAAAGACTTTTGGTACTGCAGGGTTTTTTAAGAATCATTGATGCCTTCTGAAAAACTTTTCAATGTTAAAAAAATTCTGCCAATACGATATTCTGTTGTTTTCTTGCTGCTGTCATAATCCTAAAGATTTATGTGGAAAAGTGGGGTTTTTTTAACTTTAGTATGTTTAGCTCCTTCTATTCTGCTTATTCTCAGCTTGCTCTCTGGTAGATAGTCTTCAAGAATTTTTTTTTACAGTATTCTTGTCTAGATTTTACCTTAAGTTGGGGGAAAGGCAGAACTGAAGATAAGTATCTAGGTGGAGGCAAGACTCTGGTTTGTGTAAAAATCCTTGCTTACATAACGCTGAAGAAAATAAATGGAAATAAAAGTTGTTACATGAAGTGTTTTCATGACAAGTTAAATATAAGTATGTAATAACATGTAGTCACTTAAAATGAATTTAGAGAATGTCTTAAAATTTTCTTTCCTAATTTTCATATCCTTCATGAATGTATTCAAATTAGGAAAGGTAATTTTACTTATATGTTCTTATCCTTGGGTTTTTTGTAATATGCTTTATGAATAGCAGTCTGTCATGTTTCTTCTTCATCTTTGCCCCATATCTATGTCTATAGAGTCATTTAATGAGCTCAAATTAGTTTTCATCTTTGAGAACAATGTTTTATATTAATTCTGCACTAAGATAAGTATTTTTTAACTTCCTTATGTGCATTTATTTTTGTGTGCTTAAAACATTTAATTATTCATACTATCTTTCACAGATGAAAATTAAGTTATTTACATGGGAACATTTCTTTCACACTGTTAAACATTCTATATAATTGTTTACATAGATTTTTGAAATTCATTCTTGTGTATTCACTTCATATCTATAGTGTCAATATGATTTCACACTCTAACAAGGTGGTGGGAGAAAACAGGAAGACTGAGAGATAAGAATAGATAGATCAGAATATGGACAGAGGAAAAGTGCTTATCCCAAGGTCAAAGTGATCTTTAGCTTTATGTTATTTCTAAGAAATTTGGATTGAGGAATACACAAAGTATAAAAATGGAAAGATAGAAATACATATGCTTACCAAAGGAGCAAAGTATGGATGCTTTTGGTAAGATGCAAATTCTTCACGTACATCCCAAATTTCCACTGGGTGTCATTGTTTCATCTTGTTTCTTAATTGTTTTTCTGAGGAATTTCTCCCCCTTGAGACATTCTACTCGGCTTACTATGATGGAAGTCAGCTAACATCAGTATATTTCCATTATTTTCCTTGACTAAAGATTTGGTGAAATAAAACATTCTCAGAAACTCTCTTGTGCACTTTCTTTCTCTTACCTCATGCACAAAATGACACAGTTTCTATGAAATATTTTTTAATTTGTTAGTAAATAATAATTGTAGTCTTGTTTGTAAAATATGAAATTGGCAAATGCCACAATTGAATCACTTAAATAATGATACCAAAAAAATACATATTTGGGGATGGAAGGAATCAGAATATCCTCATCTGCAAAGGATCATTTACTGTGAAGGAATTGTAACTATCATACACATTATATGGGTATTAAAAATGTATCATTTGGGGACCACTATTCATTGGCAAAACAATCATATCCTTAGATAAAACACCTTTTTACCAAATTAGCATTTCATACTGTGTCTGAGTAAAGCATTGACTGATATTCTTGAAAAGGTAGGTCCACAAATTCCACATTTAATTCAGATGTTTAAAAATGCATGTGAAAAATAAATTTTAAGATCCTTATGAATGTATATAATCTGTAACATATGTATATTTGGTCATAAAGGATAAGAATTAGAAACATTGTAAAATTAAGCACTTTAATTCCTGTTTGATATTAAAAGTTTGTATCCTGTAAATAAAGTCATCATTTAATCACTACTGCTGAGCATAATGTAATTTCAACCTTGATTTTATATTTTTTTTATTGTTTCCCCATAAAGTAGCATGGTAATGCATCTCAGGTTTTCGTTATTCTTGTACAATATTCTTAGGAAAACTGAGTGTTTTCTGAAAACATCATTGTCTCCAGTTCCTTCTTCACAGCCAGTATCTGAGAATCCAGAGATCCAGGTTTTACTGCTGTATACTTTGTGGAGTTCCTGGGCTTCCACATGATGTGTATTTATCTAAAACAGTGACTTTTTTGTAGCCTTAGCAATTTTAATTCTAAAATTTAAATAAGGTTATAATATAGAGTACAGTGACTTTCAGGATGATTTCATGAGTAGGTAAGATATCAGGCCTTTGGGAGATACATTAACTTCTTCAGATCATAGGGTGCTAATTATTAATTTACTATTTAACAACTGTCCCTAAATGGAATCACATGGGATAAACAAGCATTATAGTTGACTATCATCTAGTACTATTTGACACTGGCAATATGACTTGTTTAGCTCTATGTTCTTTAGTTGCATTTGCTTTAATACCAAAACGTAAATATATTTGAAAATATTTGTGACATCACCAATGCTTACCTCTCAGTTAGGTGATGTGTACTCTAATAAGAACTCATTTTTACGGTGCCTTTAAAGCACTTTCCTTAGAATAATCTTATGATCTATGTAGTACATGGATTATTAACCCCATTTTGTAGAGTTCAATTCAATAAACCAAAGTTTATTAAGTACATACTATGTGTTAGGCACTAGAAATACAAAAGGTGAAATGTCACTGCCCTCAAGGACCTCACATTCTATTGGAAAGATGCAACATTTATACAAAAAAAAATTGGGGGAAAGCACTAACATATCAGGGAATCAGGAAGGGCCTTTTGTAAAAGGTGGCACTTGAGCTGAGCCTTTGAGGGAGCTGGGGTTCCAAAAAGCAGAAACAAGGGAGAAAACTGCAGGCATGTGCAAAGGCATGATGGCAAAAAAAAAATTGCACTGTCATATTGAATAGTTTTTATTTGATCCTAAAGGCAATGGAAAGCCACCAAAGCTTTCCAAAGGGGAGTGACTTTGTCAGTCTTGTGCTTTAGGAATGTCAATTTGGCAACTGTATGTAGGGAGCTGATTAAAAAGGACAGAAGCTAGAAGCAGCTTAGATTGCTAAGCTCTTATAGTAGTGCATAGAAGAGGCTGGATGAAGATAGGTTGTGGTGTTAGTAGAAAAAAGAGAACAAATGTAAAAAATCTTATGGAGGTAGAATCAACAAGTTGGCAACTGGTTAGATACAGAGTGTGAGTGAGAATGAGGGATCAAGGATAACTAGATTGTGAACCTGGCTTAACAATGGTAGAACCCTCA